GCCCAGTAACGTCTCCATCATGAGACTTGTTACTGTGTTTGGTATATCGAATACGTCACAGGTAGCTTGCCAGGCTCTGCCATGCAGGCGAGATACTCTCAGTAGCTTGCCAGGCTCTCCAAGAGGGGCAGAGGAATTGAATTCGGGTTGGTCATGTTGGCCGCTTGTAAGGCAAATGCCCTACGGCTGTGCTATCACTCCAGCCAGTGAATGACTTTATAAAAATAAAACTTAAAGTGAGAGAGGAAGAGAGAAAGAGAGGGAGAGGAAGGGGGGAAGAGAGAGGGGGAAAGAGACAGAGAGACAGAGAGAGAGTGTTCCAGAAATGCCACTGGAACCCAGAAAGCTGGGGATAAACCCTGGCTGGCCTCAGGCATGTTAATGACCCCATGTTTTCATCCCACTGCACCCCTCCCCCCATCCTTCCCCTTTCAGCTGCAGTCATGGGGTGTCACACTTGACTTCAAGGCTTGTGCTTTATTTGTGGTGGGGGGGGCACACCCACTGGTGCAAGGGTGTCATCCCTGGAGGTGATGGGGGTGGGGGATCCTGTGGGCACTCAGGAACCTACAAAGTGCCACACACAAGGCCAGGGCCTTGCCCCTGTACTCTCTCCCCCCCAGCAGAGCTGTACTTTTGGTTTTGGTGAAGCTCATCACCATTTAAGGAGCTATACATTTTCTATTACTTGCATTTTATTTTGGGCTGGAGCGATAGCACAGCGGTAGGGCGTTTGCCTTACAAGCAGCCAACATGGCCGACCCGAGTTCAATTCCTCCGCCCCTCTCGGAGAGCCCGGCAAGCTACCAAGGGTATCTCGCCCACACAGCAGAGCCTGGCAAGCTACCCGTGACATATTCCATATGCCAAAACACAGTAACAAGTCTCATGATGGAGATGTTACTGGGCCCGCTCGAGTAAATCGATGAACAATGGGAGGACCGTGACCGTGGACCGTGACCGTGCGTTTTATTTTTGCTTTTTTGGTCACACCCAGCTATGCATAGGGGTTATTCCTGGCTCACGCACTTAGGTATTACTCCTGGCGGTGCTCGGGGGACCATATGAGATGCTGGGAATCAAACCCGGGTCAGCCGCGTGCAAGGCAAACGCCCTACCCACTGTGCTATCACTCCAGCCCCTATTATTTGTATTTTAAAAACATTAATAAAAGATGCAAATAGAAAATAAGCTCATTTATCTCCCTGTCCCCATGTGCTTCTCCTTTAGGGTTTCCAATTGTTGGGGATGGTAACGATTTCCAACCAGTCACATAAACCAAAATCTGAGCCCACTCAGATACGACCCTGTGCCCGGTTGGTCTAATCTGTTACTACCTGCTGTTAAGTCCTGCTTCACCCACCTCACACAGACCAGTCCCGCCTCCTCCATCTCCCAAAATATGCCAGTCACCTGGTCTGCCTGCTTCCCTTCCGGTCATGGAACAAAATGTCTGAAGCAGAACTTATTTTCTTAGTATTTAAAAAAAATATATTCTTCATTTAAATTCTGATATAATTTCAAGCTTAAAAAGTTAAACGCTCTATCAAGAGGTGATAACGCGGTGTTGAAGTTTCCCACTAGTATTGTGTTGCTATCGACATCCTTCTCCAAGAGGATGAGTAGTAACAATAGCCGAGATAAGTACCGGGAGGTTTACTCCATAGCTTGGAAGCCAGCCGCACACGCCAGGGGAAAAGGCAACTCAGATAGAGAAGGGAGCACCAAGTAAAGGGTGTTGGGAGGATTCTCCCAGGATGGGAGATGCCTGCTGAAAGTAGACTATAGACCAAACATGATTGCCATGCAATGCCTCTTTTGCAAATCACAGCACCCAAAAGGGGAGAGAGAACAAAAGGGAATGCCCTGCCACAGAGGCAGGGGGGGATGAGGAGGATGGGGGGGTGGGAGGGATACTGGGACCCGTGGTGGTAGAAAATGGGCACTGGTGGAGAGATGGGTACTCAATCATTGTATAATTGAAATCCACAAAAATTTGTAAGTCTACAACTGTACCTCATGGTGTCTCACTAATGAAAATTAAAATAAATTTTAAAAAAAGCAAGGAAAAAAAAGTTAAACGAATAGTTCACTTAAGTCCTATGCACCCTTTACCCAATTCACTTTATTTTTGGTTTGGGGACCATACCTGGCTGTGCTCAGGGCTTTATTCCTGGCTCTGCACTCAGGGGTTCATTCACTACCAGCAGGCTTGGGGGGACTGTATGGGATGAGAACTGAACCTGGTAGCATGCAAAGCAAATGCCTACTTGATGCCCTATGGCCCATCTTTTCTTTTAGGTTGTGGGTCACACACAGTGGTGCTTAGGCTTACTCCTGGCTCTGTGCTCAGGCGTCACTCCTGGGGGAGGGTGTGGGGGAGGGGGTGTTCAGGGAACCCTTTGGAGTGCCGGGGATGTAAGCTGGGCCATCCAAGTGCAAGGCAAGCACTCTGCCCATCATACAAAATCTCCAAACCTTCACTTTATAATTTTACCTTGCATGTTCTACTATTCATCTTACCCACAGATACATAAAAAATGTTCCCCAAATAATTTGAGAATCAGAGATAACGGCCTTAAACATTTTAATGTGCATTTCCTAAGAACAGGGACATTCATTTTGTAATCACCTACAGGCAAATTTAATATTGATGACTATTATTATTTATCCCACATTACAAATCCACTCGGTCTGTGGTTTAAGCATGTTCAGGAGAGCTGCTCTAGCATTAGGATCCAATCCTGGACCTCAGAAGGTCTCCTTAACTTGCCATTTTTTGGGGGCGGGGGTTACACCTAGCGATGCACAGGAGTTATTCCTGGCTCTGTACTCAGGAATTACCCCTGGAGGTGCTCAGGGGAACCATACGGGATGCTGGGAATCAAACCTGGGTTGGCCGCGTGCAAGGCAAACGCCCTACCCGCTGTGCTATTGCTCCAGCCTCTCCTTAACTTCTTTGAACCCTAAGCCAGGGCACAAACCTGGACTGTCTCGGGCCACCCCATCTGCAGGTGATGGGAAGGGTTTTCAGTGCTGCTCAGGGCTCTATCCTGGCTCTGAGCTCAGGGAGATCACTCCTGGTGGGACTCAGGGAACCATGGGGTACCCAGGATAAAATCCAGGTCTGCTGCATACCAGACAGGTGCCCTGCCCATTGAACTATCTCTCCAACCCTCTGAGAAGGCTTTCATCATTCATTTTTATTGGGGAAGGGGCCATACCCGTTGGTGCTCAGAACTTACTCCTGACTCTGCACTCAAAATCAATCTGTCCCGGAGAGCCTGGGGAACCATATGGGATGCCAGGGATTGAACCTGGATTGGCCTTGGGCAAGACAAGAGCCCTACCCACTCTACTATCACTCCGGCCCTGTGGGAGGGATTTTTAACTGTTTGAAAGCAAAACCACTGAAGTAAGTGTCTGGGCATCAAAGTACAATTCAGCTAATGTTTCTCTTCCTTTCTGGTTTTTTTTTTTCTTTTTGAGTCACACCTGGTGACGTTCAGGGGTTACTCCTGGCTCTGCACTCAGGAATCACTCCCAGCAGTGCTCAGGGCCATCATATGGGATCCGGATGGCTCTGGTTGCGAAGTTCATGTTTCAGAAGGATCAACAGCTCAAAAGTGGGATCATTATTTCATGAAACACATTTAATATTTAGTCAAAGGTTGACTAAAGAAACATGCTAACAGATAATTTCACTTGCTCAAGGTACTTTATGGTATGATTTGGTTTGGTCTGGTTTGGTTTTGAGGCCACACCCAGCAATACTCAGAGTCATTCCTGCCCTGTACTCAGGAATACAATGGGATGCTGGGGATTGAACCAGGGTTGGCTGTGTACAAGGCAAATGCTCTACCTTCTGTGCTATCTGGTCACCTAAACACTACTCTGACATGATAAAACATCAGTACATTACCGCTAAAGTAAAAAGTCAAGTGACAGAACATTTCCAATATAGACACAATGTATTTACATGTAGATGGATGGATCCAAAATTCTAGATATACACTGTTATCAATCAGGTTTTCCAACTCTAGGGGGGCAGAAACTGATCACAGAGATAAAAGCTTTCTCTGGTAACAATCTATTGTAGCACCATAGCATACTTCAAACAGACTAAAACCTAAGCATAACAACACAATACTTTCTTTTGATGGGTATAGAATTTATGGGGGCAAGATAGGTACTGTATGTACAAACTTTTAAATTCCCACGTAGATGAATGGTGCTAATCTTCTGGAATTACACAAAACTATAAATTGATAAATTTTTTCAAACTTTTTTCTACAGGTATATGAATTAAAAAAGTAAAATTATAAACAATTCTGTGCCAATACACTTTAATATTTACATGAAACAGGTAAATCTTACAAATGTAAAGTTTTAGTGTCAGAGGAAAGAGAGTTAAGAAAAATGTTTTACCATTTTTTTTTTTTTTTTTTTGTGGCGGGCCACCACAACCAGTGGTGTGGGATTTTTCCTGGCTCCGTGCTCAAGGATGACTACTGGCAGACTTGAGGACCATATGTAGTATTGGGGACTGAACTCAGGTCAGCCACATGCAAAGCAAGTGCCCTACCTGTGGTGTTCCTACCTGTTACAAAAATTTTAAGGGGAGAATCTGAATAGGCCTACAGAAGTAAAAATGTGTTTTATTTAAGAAAGGGAATATTGGCCTTATATTAGAAAATATTATAAATACTGTATAAGTGTTCACATGAAAAAGGACTGAAATAGAAACCTGTAAGAATATTAAAATAAAAAAAACCCCACCTGATCAGATGCATAATCTTCAATAGAAGTAAAATGTTAACTCATTATGTATGCAATCCCTTAGCAGGAGACGAGTAAACAAACCTTTTTAAATCTAGGATGTGGCTCAGCTGTAGTGAGGTGCTGGCAACTCAAACCGCAAACAAGACAAAGAAAATAGGCAAACACCCAAGAACAGGGTTTTGTTGGTATTTCAGAAACGACTCTGTAAGACACCAAAGTTTTAATTAAAAGCTATTTATTAAAAAATATTTCATCCCAATTCTGATTCCGTATCATGGAGTGATATTCAGAGCAATAACTGACCAGCTCAATAACTGACTTCATGATCTCTTTAGCACATTCTGTCAGGTAAGAAAACAGATCCGACTCCTTTCAATTCTTCGCAAACGCAAACATGATTGGCATGTTTCATACGAAAGTATTTTATAAATTTATAAAAGTGTCTCTTCCTAGATCAGTTAAGATTCAGTTACTATTAGGTGATACTGGCTTAAAAGACCGTCGAAGCAATGCTCTGAATTTTCATTGGCAAAATTCAAGGGAAACATGATTTTTCTGTTTGTTTGCTTTGAAACTATTTGGGGGAGGAGGCGGCGTTGGGTCGCACCTGGCAGTGCTCAAGGAGCACTGCTGGTAATGCCTGGTTGGCAAGGTTGGTGGAAATGGGGTCAGGGGCATGTGAGGCAAGCGCCTTACACCCCACACCCCTGATCTCACCGGCCCAGGAAAACAAGACTGCTTCTGAGTTTCTTCAGCACTCACAAAGAACCACCTGAGAAGACCCTGAAGAAGTCCCTGATGCTTCCGGCTTAATAATACACACCAGAAACAGGATTTAGAAAGGACCGGAAACCAACTGATTTCAGAGATTAAAGGGAACTTCTCACAGACATTGAGAATTTCAATTCAAAGTAGGAATACAGATATTTTAAAATGACACTTTAGAAACATATAGCCAGCCTTGCGGAATCCCTGTAGAGTTCTTTGGCTCTGGAAACGGCGGGTGGACACGGGCGGGTCTCTCGTCCAAAGGCTCAACACATCAGTCTTTTTTCAACAGTTTCCTGGTAAGCAACGAACCTTCTCAAGTTCATCTTCACATTGTCAAGAACACACAATTGCTCTGGGCTGCATTTTTCTCTCCCTTCTTTTCGTATCTGTCCCCCCCCACACAAAAAAACAAAACAAAAACAAAAACAAAAAAACACATAGTTATTTGGCATATATCATGAATTTAAATAAAGGCAGCATTTAATCTGGAGCATATTTAACCTTATGGTGTACATTTGTCTTTGCTTTTTAAAATGCCATCCAATTTGGACACCTAAGAGGCAGGGAACAGGTGGATGTAAATTTTTTCGCTGCTTAAAACAAACAAAAATCTACAAACTTGAACACAGCAAAATTAAGAGTAAACTGTTAAAATCCTCCCCCTCAAACCCTATCCCCCCAACTAATATCAGCTTCTGTTACTACTTTTTTGTTTTGTTTTTTTTTTGGGGGCCACACCTGGCAGTGCTCAGGAGTTACTCCTGACTCTACACTCAGGAATCACTCCTGGCGGTGGTCAGGAGACCTCATGGCATGCAGGGGCTTGAACTTGAGTCAGCACCATGCAAGACAGGCACCTTACCCGCTGTACTATCACTCCAGCCCTATATTTTAAAATTTAACATTCCAAAACATAACAATGTTAAAAATAAACCAATACTGGAACCTGATAGTACAGCGGGTAGGAAAGAGCACTTGCCTTGCACGCAAACCACCCGTGTTTGGTCCCCAGCATCCCGTCGGGTCCCCCAAGTACCACAAGGAGTGACTCCAGGGTGCAAAATAGAAGTAACCTGGAGCACTGCCAGGTGTGGGCCCAAAAACAAACAAACAAAATTGTTTTTAAATAAACCAATACTGCATTCATATTCCTAATCCAAGGCTGGCTGGCTTCAAATGCAATGATAAGAGACTGTGGCAGGTACTCAGAGCTACTGTCCTTTTCTTCTAGGAAAACCATTTTATAGCATGATAAACTTTCAAAGTATCCAAATTTCTAGATAAAGTGTCATTCACATAAAACTTTTTCAGATGGGCTGGAGCAATAGTAGAGTGGCAAGGGTGCTTGACTCACACATGTCTGACCCTGGTTGATCCCCAGCACCCCATAGGGTCCCCTGAGCCACCAGGAGCGATCCCTGAGTGCAGAGCTAGGAATAAGACCAGAGGACCCCGGGAGTGCTCCCGCTTCCACCTCCTCCAAAAAAAAAAAAATACAAAAGACACTGGTTCAAAGGGCTGGAGCAAATACTTTGCATGGAGCACTGGGTTAAATGCCAGGCACTGAATGATACTGGACACCTCCAGAAGTACTCCTTCCAGGGAAAAATGTGTGTGTATGTGTGTGTGGGGGGGGGAGGAGGAGGAGGAGGGAACAACAGAAGTAAACTTATTTTTTTTTATCAAAACTTCTATTCTATTGACAGAGATTTTAAAGCAAACATTTAAAATCTAAACGCAAAATCATATACTCAGGATAATTTTCAATAAGATGCTGGGAATCAGAGCCAGGTCAGCCATGTACAAAACGAGTACCTACTGCATTAGCCCTCTAGTGGCAGATTACCTTTATTTCTAAAAGTAACAGTTGAAAAACTGAATTTTAAATAACAGGGTAATATTAAACTTGTCAGGCTGGAGCGATAGCACAGTGGGTAGGGCTTGCACGCGGCCGACCCAGGTTCGATTCCTCTGTCCCTCTTGGAGAGCCCGGCAAACTACGGAGAGTACCCTGCCTGCATGGCAGAGCCTAGCAAGCTCCCCGTGGTGTATTCGATGTGCCAAAAACAGTAACAAGTCTCACAATGGAGATATTACTGGTGCCCGCTCAAGCAAATCAATGAACAACAGGAGGACAGTGCTACAGTGCTATTAAACTTGTAGACTTGTGGTTTAAGACCTTAAGTCTCTTTTAAATTTCTGGTTGCTCTTCCCTGTGCCACGAAAACAGGTTGGTTTTTTACTTATTTTGGGGGGGGGTCCCCCACATCTGGTGGTGCTCAGCGCTCACTCTTGGCGGTGCTGGGATCACACAAGGGCTGGCTGAGTTCAAGCCTTAATTTGTATTCTGTCTGTCAGGCCCCAAGACAGCTTTGGAAATTTCTGCTTGTTTTCCGTTTCTGGGTCAGATATGACCATGCTTGGGGGGGTCCCTGCTGGTTTTGCACATGAAGACGAGTCCCAGAAGTACCCGGGGGACCATGTGGTGGTGGGGGCTGAACCCGGGGACCCTGCATACAAAAGCCTGCAACCATCTCCCCTCTCCTTGAAAATTATCCAACTCAAAAATTAGCTAGCATGTATGTCTCTGAAGCAATGGTCAATATACGGTGACTGAAGTAGGCACATCCCCTGCCCTCCTGGAGACCCTGCCGTCCTCAGGTGCACTCCCAGGAGGCTATTCCCTGCTGACCAAAAGGAAGTTGCCAGAACAGTGGAACCAATCTACCAGTGAACTTTCTTTCTATCTTTTTTAATTTTCAGGTCACACCTGGTGATGCTCAGAGGTTACTCCTGGTTCTTGCACTCAGGCATTACTCCTGGAGGTACTTGGGGGACAATATGGGATGCTGGGACTCGAACCCAGGTCGGGTGCATACAAGGCAAATGGCCTACCTGCCGTGCTATTGCTCACCAAAGAAAGTTTCAATGCTTGTGACTGTGCTGTCGCCTCACGGGCTGCCACAGGAAGAAGAACTTTCCCACAGCACGTGGGCTCAGTGATTCAACAGTAGGGATGACGGGGTCTGACTCAGCCCTGCCATGCCACGGGAATCACAGAGGCCGCATGCAGGTGCTTCACACACATCCCTCCCTCCCGCCACGGGGACTTGGCCATTGCTAAGTACGCTGGCTCTACCTTCGTTTTGAAGACGGGCTGGAATTCTTTCAGTGCAGACAACAACTTAATTTGAACCGAGGCCCTTTCGGCTTCTTTCCCGTCCGCAAAAACATCGAAGAGAGCATCCAAAGCTTCTCCCGCAACTACCAAGGAAGGGTCTTTCGTGGCAACCTCAAGCAGGAAGCATCCGATGGTCTGGAGATGACAAAACACAGTGTTTTACCACAATACCATTCTCTTGGGGGTGCTGGCGGGCACTGGGGCCGCACCTGGCAGTGCTCAGGGCTGACACCTGGCTCGGTGGTCAGGGATTACTCTCGGTAGGTTCAAGGGGTTAGATGTGGGGCTGGGGGTCCAATCTGGGCTCGGCTGCGTTTTGAGTATAAACTACATATAACCTGACCCACTGCATTATACTGGTACTAAATTTCTCTCCGGCCCCCAGAAATTTATTTTCTGTTTTTTTCCTTTGGGTTTTTGAGTCAGACTTAGCAGTGATCAGGGCTGACTCCTAGCTCTGAGCTCAGGGATCACTCCTGGCAGGGCCAGGGTGCTAGGGGACTAAACTGGGGTCGGCAGCATGCAAGGCAAGCCATCTTATTCCCTGTGCTCTCTCTCCAGACCCCACCTTGAAATTTATTTCTGACTACATATAACCAGAGTAAAGTGTTTGGTTTTAAACCTGGTTTTTGAGTCACACCTGGTGGTACTCAAGGGCAACTCCTGGCACTGCTCAGGAAACCATGTGATGCCAGGTACTTAACCAAGGTCCAGTGCACGCAAGGCTGCATGCATTCACCCCATGCACTCTCCCCCCGCCCCCCTCCGACCCCCACTGAAGCATATTGTTTTACCTTCAGCGTTTCAAGCGTGCCATCTTCTTTGGCTAGGACACTGCCGGTGATCCCTAGAATACTGACAACATTCACCCGAACCCCAACGTTACTACTGTAAATGCCGGCTTTGCATAACGTCATCAGCTGGTCAGGAGTCATGCACTGTTGAAAGAGAAGAGAGGAGTGTGTTGAACACCACCAGCTTCAACAGCAAAGCTAACAGGGAGCTTCCCATGCTGCACAGTTCTAAGGGACAGACACTCTGGGCAGCCGAGTCTTACTAATCATTCCCAAACAGAGCAGGTCATGCCAAACTCCAGTGAGACCTGCGCGTGTCATTCCAATCACTCAACTTACTGAAGCTGCACGCCGGTAAAAGGGGCTTCATATTCAGCTCCTATGCATTTTACTTGAAGATTCTGGCTCAGATATATACACACTAAAGAGAGGTAACTATTTTTTTTTTAACACATCATAAAAAACTGTTTCTTTGAGCGCTGTTCCTGGCAGTGTGTTGGAGATCAGGGAATGAATGAACCTCACTTCTCACAGCTAGCAAGCACTGAGCCATTCAGTGCTCCTTCCCCTCCCCCCTCCCCTCCTCTCCCCTCTCCCTCTTCTCTCTCCCCCCTCGCTCCTCTCTTCTCTCTCTCTCTCTCCTCTCTATCTCACTCCCCCCCGCACTTTTTTTTTTATGTACATTAAGATCACGGAACTTTAAAGGGGTTGGAGAGACATCCAGGGGTTAAGGCACTTGCCTTCCATGGGGTTTACCCTTGTTCAATCCCTGGCACCACCAGGAGCAACCCCAGGTACAGAGCCTCTGGGTGGAACCAGATCACGGCCAGCTGTGGCTCCAAATCCCAAAGAAACCTTCCACTCCTGCTGAAGTTTCCAACCCTACACCGTCAGAACTTCCTCTGGAGTACTGTGTTTGAGCCAACTATTAAAGACTGTAAAGACCGTTCCAATAAATAACACTTCAGTGACACTTCTCTTTTTTTTTTTTTTTTGCTTTTTGGGTCACACCCGGCAATGCTCAGGTGTTACTCCTGGCTCATGCACTCAGGAACTGCTCCTGGCGGTGCTCGGGGAACCATATGGGATGCTGGGAATCGAACCTGTGTAGGCCATGTTGGCTACGTGCAAGGCAAACACCCTACCCGCTGTGCTATCGCTCCAGCCCCAGACACTTCTCTTTTTAAGCCAGTGGAACACACACTGGGGACATGTATCAGAAAGAGCAGTGTGGTGAGGAAGGACTTGGGACTGGGAGCCTGATGTCCTGTGTTCAGATCTTTCCTCCAATACCGGGTAATTCAGCACAAGTTACTCAACCTCACTCCATTTCCCCACCAGCAACACAGGAACAACACCCATAACCATCAAATTGCTCTTGAGGAAAAAACAATGCATATAAAGGGCTCACTAAGTGTTGGCTGTTTTAATACTGCCGGAAAGAGAGGATGACGGCGCGTAACATGCAGCCAAACTGGGTTTGATCCCTGACAACACGTTTGGTCCCTCAAGGCCATCCAGAAATGATTCCTGAGCTCAGGGCCAGGAGTAAGCCCTGAGCAGCACTGGGGTGACCTCAAAATCAAAACAAAACAAAAACTAAAAAAAAAAAAAAAAAAAAGAAAAAATAGCAGCAACTACTTAGTATGGTGGGTAGGATGCTTGCCATACACAGGGCCTATCCTGGCTCACCCTCCAGCACCAAATACGATCTCCGGAGCCTTGCCAGGACTGACCCCGGAGTACAGGGTGAGGAGTAAGCCCTGAGAGCTGCTCGGTAGGGCCCCCAAAGCAAGCAACAAAGGTACTGAACAGCTCCTGGGATATTCCTAAGAGGAATGCTGCGTCACAGGCTCCATGTTTAACTTTTGAGGAACTGTCAGATACCCTCCCAAAGTTCTTGCGACTTTACATCCACGAGTGCTGTAGGGGGCCCCAGTTTCTCCACATCCTCACTAACACTGGTTATTCTCTTTGGGATTCGAGTTACCCTCATGCATGTAAAGTTGATAGTTCACTGTGGTTTTGATGTTTTGATGTGCTTTTTTATTTTTAATTTTTAATTTTTTACTTTTTTGCCTTTTTGGGTCACACCCAGACAATGCTCAGGGGTTACTCCTGGCTCTGCACTCAGGAATCACTCCTGGCGGTGCTTGGGAGACCATATGAGATACTGGGAATCAAACCCAGGTCGGCCGCATGCAAGGCAAACGCCCTACCCGCTGTGCTATTGCTCCAGCCCCTTGGTGTGCTTTAAAAAAAAAAAAAAATACAATTAACAATGTTGGTGAATCTTTTCATGGGCTTTTTGGTTACTGCCTGTCTTTGGAGAAATGCTTCATCCTCTGCCCATCTAAAAAAGGACTTTATCATACTGAGTTGTTATATATATATTCTAGATCTAAGTTGCTTATCAGGTTTTACTTGTAAAAACTGTTTTCAGATTTGTGAGATCCTTCAAGACACAAATGTTTTTAATTTTTCAATTTTTTTTTTTTTGCTTTTGGGCTACACCTGGCAATGTTCAGGAATTACTCCTCACTCTGCACTCAGGAATTACTCGTGGTAGTGCTAGGGGGACACATGGGATGCCAGGGATTGAACCCAGGCCAGCTTCCTTCAAGGCAAGCACCCTACTTGCTATACTATCTCTCTAGTCTCTAATTAAAATTTTTGTTTTTCTCTTTTGGGTCACACCTGACAATGCTCAGGGGTCACTCCTGGCTCTGCACTCAAGAATTACTCCTGGCAGTGCTCAGGGGACCATACGGGATGCTGGGGATCGAACCCAGTTAGGCCACGTGCGAGGCAAACACCCTACCTGCTGCTCTATTGCTCCAGTCCCTCATTTAAATTTTTTAAAACACGTTTCTAAACAGTGGTGAGTCATCAAACTCGTTTCTGAATCATCTGCGTTGCAGCTGACAAATCTAAAGCCGACAGCTTTGATGCCTGTGTGTCTCGAAAAATACTCTAATGACAAAAGTCTTATATAATGTCCCATAAGAGACGGAGGCTTCACAGCTAGCTGAGGCTGCAGTGAGTAATCAAGACGGGCTGTATCACTGTCCAGACTCACACAGGAAAGATGTGTAACGTGCACAAACCTCGGTCGATAACCAGATAGGGAAGCAGACACTGAGAGTGTGGAGTCCAGTTCTGTTACACTACAGGCCTCCGAGAGGGCTCAGCAGGCAGAAGCAAAGCATGCGGGAGCCTTGGGTTGGCGCCCTGACGCGGCATGGTCAGCAAAGCATCGCTGGGAATGACCTGAGCACCAAGTCAGGAGCAGCCTCCGAGCACTGTGCAATATTCGAGCCTCCCCCCCCACACACCCAAAGAGAGAGACGCTGAATATAATTAAGTTTCTGGACCATGGGGCCTAGAACCCGGATGGCTCAGGGTTTTAAGTGCTTGCTGGGAAAGTGCAAGTCATCTGAGTTCAATCTCCGGTGCTTCTCGCAGTGCTGGAGGAGCCTCCTGACCACCCCAGGTGTCCGTGGTGTCCGTGGTCAAGGCTTTATTTATTTTTTATTTTTTAAAATTTATTTATTGAATCACCGTGAGAACAGTTACAAAGCTTTCAGGCTTAAGTCTCGGTCATATAATGATCAAACACCCATCCCTTCACCAGTGCATATTCTCCACCACCAAGAACCCCAATATGCCCGCGGTCAAGGCTTGAGACCTAGCACCCCAGCTCACAGAGAGACACATCAAACAAAACGTAAACCGGCCAACTCCGAGAAAGGAGAACACACTATGGGACAAATGATAGCTGCTCCAAGGAACAGCATGAGGAGAGGGCAGGTTGTGGAAATGTAGATTAGGAGACAGTCTGTGAGCTGCAAAGGTGGCTCAATGGGTTGGAGTGCACGCTTCCTACGTGGGAGCCCTGGGTTCCACACCTGGTGCTTTATGACTTGAGCACTGCCAGGAATGGCCCAAAACAAAAACCAAAAAGGAGACTGACAATATGCTGATGTTCAGTGATGAGCATGCAGGTTCTTTGCTTTTTAAATTCCTTGAAAAAAAAAGTGAAAAAATCAAACTGTCAGGACACTTATCCTAGAGGGGCAGCTGGATGACCGTGGGAGGTAGGGATGGCATGATGTTTTTTGGGGCTTTGGTTTTGGAATCACTCGGCGATGCCCAGGAATCACTCCTGGCTCGGCACTCAGGACCATTCTTAGCAGTGCTCCGAGGACCATATGGGGTGCCGGGGATGGAACCCTGATAGGCTGCATGCAAGGCAAGTGCCCTACTGGCTGTACTATAGTTCCAGACCCTGATTTTGTTTGTTTTGTTTATTTGTTTTTCATCTAAAAGAGCCAAAAAAATAGTTACAAAGCATATGTCAAGTAAGAAAACTCTATCAATTAAAAACTCTGTTGCTAGATGCGGTGATGTAAAAGAAAGATCTTACTTCTTACTTTAAGTACTTGTATATTTTCTCCCTACAAGGATTATGTATAACTCTCATAACAGAAATACTTCAAAATTTGCCTCGATAATACAGGATCTTTCCTGGTTTCACAAGCATAAAAAAAAAAATCTTACCTGAGAAATGTTTTTGGAGGCCATTGTTTGCAAAAGGGCCCTCAAGGCACTGCTTATGGCTTCCAGGAAGTCAACGTGCTTAGCAAAATCTAAAACATAAAAGTGAAAAACAAGTTTGTTTTTCCCCAAGACATTACCTTGCATAGAATGAATCAGCACAAGGCATGTTAAATGTTAAAGCATGCAATGATGAGAAAAACACTTGCCACTTCAGTAAAATTTCTACTGCTCAGCTATACGCCCCCTCCCCCCTCCCTGCTGCCTGAGCAAAATTTCAAGTCAGCAGCCACCTGGGAACTGTGTGTCTGAAAGACAACCACGACGACGGATGACTGGGAGCATCCTACAGAAGGTGCACACTTCTGGACACGGGGTCTTCATTTCACGCCCGCGTGAGAGCAGGATGATCTACTCTGCAGGCGGGACGCGGCTTCTCCCTGAGCGCCAGCACAGTCCCGAGCCGACGGCAGCAGTGCCGGCTCCCTGGTCAGCTGTTGCTTCCCCCACAAACCCAGTCTTCCCAGCAACTGCAAACCGTCGCAGGACCGGGGCAGTAGGGCGAGTGGTGCTTACGGACTCTCTGCTTTCCCGTCCCCCGCCTGCTCATGTTCACTCTTCTCCTCCGGCCCTACTTCCTACACAGGACTCTCTGGGTGATGACCATCAGCCTCTCTGTATAGCCACGCAGTGAGGGCTGCCCAGGGGAGTGGGACTGTAGTCAGGGAAACAAACACGGGGCTGCGTGAAGAGGTCCCTGCGGGTATGTGGGAAACAGCTTGACGGCAACCAGCTGACCAGCTGGTCTGGGCGGGGCATATGGGAGGTCGACAATGCTCGGGAACCCTCTGCTCTGGGTACCAGGATGACAAAGAGTGCCCCAGAGTTGTCCAGTTTCCCCAGGGAGGGGGAAACCCACCTCTTGTTGAGCCCCCATCACTGCATCGTTCCCTGAGCGTCACCAGGACTGACCCTAAACACAGAGCCAGGAGCCCGAGAGCTACCAGGTGAGGGACAAGCTACAGAAAGCCGAGATACTTAGCTGCCTCCTCCCCACCACCCTTCCCAGTAACACTTCACCTCATCCTCACAGCATCTGGAGGGTCATATTCTTTTTGTTTTGTTTCGTTTCTTGCTTTTTGGGTCACACCCGGCGATGCTCAGGGGTAACTCCTGGCTCATGCACTCAGGAATTACTCCTGGCGGTGCTCGGGGGACCATATGGGATGCTGGGAATCGAACTCGGGTTGGCCATGTTGGCTGCGTGCAAGGCAAATGCCCTACCCGCCGTGCCATCACTCCAACCCGGGTCATATTCTTTTTGAAATGCCAAACATTAGGGATTTTATTACAATACCCATCTCTTAAGCAGACATAATCGTCATGGACATTTTCATTCTCCTGGGGCCAGGAGACAGTTCAAAGAGCTGGAGCCTGTGTTTTGCGTTGGACGGTGGGGGGTGGCAGGCCTGGTTGGACCCCTGACACCACATGGGCCCCAAGCAGCTGCTCTGAGCTCAGGTGGGACCCCGCGTGTGTGATGCTCAGAGAACCACACGCAGGGCGGGGATCCAAGTCGGACGCTGAACCCTTACCTGGCTGAGAGAAAAGCAGCTGGGACAGGTGCTGGGCGAGGGTCTGAAGGGCTGGGGCTCCTCCCAGGTGGTCCACATCCAGGAGGGAGACCAGACTCTGCAGACACGTGAGAGCCCGGCACTGGATGGTGTTCATCCTGCAAGGGAGTGGCAACATGCTAAACTCCTTATGAAGACAGGGCAGCCCGGGGGTTAGCGCGACAGGACAGCCTTGAATGCGGCCGACCTGGGATGGATCCCAGCACATGTCTGGTCCCCTAAGCCCTGCCAGGAGCGAGCCCTGAGCACAGGAACAAGCCCTGAGCAACGCTGGGTATGGCCCCCAAACCGAGAAATTCACAGTCACAGTCCTCCCATTGTTCATCGATTTGCTCAAGCGGGCCCAGTAACACTGTGAGACTTATTACTGTGTTTGGTATATTGAATACGTCACGGGTAGCTTGCCGGGCTCTCCGAAAGGAGCGGAGGAATCGAACTCGGGTCGGCCATGTTGGCTACGTGTAAGGCAAACTCCCTAACCACTGTGCTATCGCTCCAGCCCAAACTGAGAAATAATAAACTAAAATTTGAAGTAAGTACCAGGAGGTCTGCTCTATGGCTTGGAAGCCGGCAGCACATGCTGGGGGAAAAGGCAGCTCAGATAGAAAAGGGAACACCAAGTAAAGGATGTTTGGAAGACTCCCTCGGGGTGCAAGATGTGTGCTGAAAGTGACTACAGACGGAACACGATGGCCCTCAATATCTCTATTGCAAACTACAACACCCTAAAGGAAAGAGTGAACGAAAGGGAATGTTCTGCCACAGAGGCGGAGTGGGGGGAGGAATGGGATGGGGGTGGAGGGCTACTGGGATCACTGGTGGTGAAGAATGGGCACTGGTAGAGGGATGGGTACTCGATCATTGTATAACTGAAACCCAAGCACGAAAGTTTGTAAGTCTACAACTGTACTAATAAAAATAAATAAATAAATAAATAAATAAATTATGGTGTTTCATTGGAGCGATAGCACAGCGGGTAGGGCGTTCGCCTTACAAGCGGCCAACATGGCCGACCCGAGTTTGATTCCTCCGCCCCTCTCGGAGAGCCCGGCAAGCTACCGAGAGTATTCGATATGCCAGACACAGTAACAACAAAGTCTCAATGGAGACGTTACTGGGCCCGCTCGAGCAAATCGACGATCAACGGGAGGGCCTTTACCTTTTATGGTGTTTCACTAATAAAACAAATAATTAAAAATGTTTTTAAAATAATAATAATAATAATAATAATAATAAACTAAAATACTGAGAGCAGGAACTTTCAAGCTCAGCCCCAGGTTCTGCCTGACTGAGAAAATGTGTAAGCAGGAGGAAGTCAATGGCAGTTAGCAAAATAATCTTATTTTTTTTGGGCCACACCCAGCAGCATTCAGGGCTTACTTCCGGCTCCGTGCCTAGGGGTCACTTGTGGCAGACTCGGGAGACCACATGGGGTGCCAAGGACAGAACCCAGGTTGGATGGGTGCAAGACAAGCGCCCTACCCTGTCCTATTGCTTGGGCCCTAGCAAAGAACCTTACGGTGGGCTCTTCATCTCTATCAAACCAAACCGCTTGGGCACTCAAGACCTCAGAGGCACAACTCATAAATGAGTCAGAAGGTTTTTGTTTTTTACTCGCAGCAGCATCTGTAAAATTATTTCAAAATGTGAAATATGACATATGCTCAAAGTGTTCAACACACAAACAGAACTTGAGAAATAAGTGAAAAAGCGAACACCCATACACTGAGACCAGATCCAAACAGTCACCAGAGTGAAAGAACCCCTCCCTCGGGCCTACAGGCGGTCAGCGCCACCCACACTTTCATACGGACGTTTCCTGGCGTTTCTTGCCTGTACCACCAATGCAGGCCCAGACAACATAGCTGAGCACGGCATGGTTTGAGCTTTGTGGAAACAGCCTCTCACTGTTTGAAATCTTCTCTGTGTTTAAGAAGTGTTAGCATTTTAAAAAGAACTGCTGCCCGTGTTCTACTGTTTATGTCAACGTCCACCCATTCTGCCGCTGAGGGGCCCGGGGCGGGGGCAGGCTAGGACACCCATGCACGGCCCCACGCAGTGCGCCCCTTCCCGTGTCCGCGCGCCTGCGTGCGCACACCTTCCTGGGAAACTGACGCAGGGAACGAACCCCAACTCGTGGGGCTTGGGAGGGAGCCAGCGTCTCCTTTGTGACAGTCTGTGGTTTCCATTTGTCACACGATGACAAAATATTTGGAGATAGAAGAGTACTCACTTTCTAATCAAAGGTTTCCAAGTGGGGTGTCGGGAACAAACGTCAACGGCAGTGCTGTTCGGAAAGGCGGTCTTCTCAAAAATCTGGATTTGGGCCAGGGCGGCAAAAGCAAGGTGAAAGTGAGCACACGCCATACACAGGATCCGCTCGTAAAAGCCCAGTGTACTCCCTTTAGGTGAAAGGCTTAGGCTTCGTGAAGAGGCCTTCAGTTTAATTTGTCCTGTGTTTACCAGATCCTACTACTCACCTACAGTGGGCAAGTGGGAGTTCAATTCTTTTGTATGCAGAATTAATGTGGGTTTTCGGTTTTGTTTGGTTTTTGTTACATGCAGAATCAATGTATTTTTTTTGGTTTGGTTTGGTTTTTGTTGGTTGGTTGCACAGGGCTTATTCCTGGCTCTTCTCTCAAGTACTGTTCCTGGCAGGGCTCTGGAAGTGCTGGGAAGGGTACCCAATGCAAAGCAAGTACCCTACTCACTGTGCCAAATCTCTGGCCCCAATTAATGCTTTTTTTTTTTCTTTTTGGGTGACACCTGGCAATGCACAGGGATTACTCCCAGCTCTGCACTCTCAGGAATTACTCCTGGTGGTGCTCAGAGGATCATATGGGATGCTGGGTATTAAACCCGGGACCTGCTGTGTTACTATCGCTCCAGCCCCAATTAACGTGTTTTCGGTTTTTTGTTTTTTTAAGTTTTTGGGCCACATTCGACTATGCTCGGGGCTTACTCTTGGCTTGCTTGGGGGCACATGGAATGCCGAGGAGGACTGAACTGGGTCAAGCACGTGCAAGATCAGCACCCTCCCCCACTTGTCCTCTTGCTCCAGTCCCCCACCCCACCCCACCCCACCCCACCCCAAGTGGCTTTCTGAATCCCCGCCCACGTTTCCCAGCGAGCCATGAACGGAAACCAGATCACCGTCTTGGGGATGAGGTGGTGGGTGAGCGCAGTGTGGACCTCATGCGAGAGGCAGAGGGGAGAGAGCAGCTGGCCCCCGCCGTCCCCGACAGAGTTCTCCATAAAGGCGTCGCTTTCGTCGCTGCTGGAGAGCTCGTCCCACTCGTCATCGGAGGGATCTGGAAGAGGGTGACCCCACACGTAAGGGGAATGGTTCAGAAAATCCCCTTGGGAGCCGCCCCCTCCCCCCCCAGGGGACGGGGGAGAATGCCGGGATGTGAGCCGTCCAGACCTTCACTGCAGCACATGTTGACGATGATCTCCAGGGCCGTCTGCTGGGCCGTCAGCAGCGCCACAGCCCCTCTCAGCTCCGTCTCCGTGGGCTGGAAACAAAAAGCAAAACACTCTCAGGGTGGAGGAAACATCTTCACACGACTTTCCTGAGACAGACCCTACAAGGTACTTTTTTTTTTTTTTTTTTGCACATGTGGACTTGGGCACGCGTGGGATGGAGGAGTGGGCGGTGGAGACGTTAGAAAGCGCTGGAAGGACACACGAGCAACTGATTCCTCCTAGTACGGGGGAGCATGGCACTGAGAACCGGGGATCTGTCTAGCTGCACGGGTAAGTGCTGCTTAGTTCGGGGAGGAGAAGAGATTAAATATTCAGAAATTCTGAACTGAATTCACCCTGAAACTTAATCGAAGGTGTCAAGAAGTAGCTCAGTAAACGAAGATTAAAAGTAAGAGTTGCTTTCAAACACCAGGCACTTGCTTTTAGCCATGTAGACGTTTTCTTGGAAAAGACTGCATTTGCAACAACTATTAACAAGCCCTTATTTGGTTAAGGAGCATTTAGATTTGTCCCTGGCTCTCTTTGGAAGACTGAAAAAAAAAAATAGACTTAAAGCTTTTAAGACTGAAGAAAAAGGGGGCTTTTTTCTTTGGCAACATATAACGTGAACTTTGACTTTTTAATTAATGTTCTTTTTTTGGTTGGTTTTTGCTCAGGGATTACTCCTGGCTCTGTGCTCAGGGATCATTCATTCCTGGCGGCTCAGTAGACCATATGGGATGCCGGCGATCAAACTCCAATTGGCTGCATACAAGGCAAGTGCCTTACCTGCTGTATATTATTGCTCCAGCCCCTTAATTAAGGTTCTTAAAATAGGCAGTATAAATACACATGATACTGACTCTCAAGATGCTGTGAGCTATAAAAAAATACTACATGTTGTCTAGAAGTCTTCTAATTTTAATAGTTTCCTAATTATCTTTTTAGTGGTTGTATGGTATTCTATTAATTAAGCATAATTAATTAAGCATTAAGATTACTTTAATCTGAAATATTTTATCTTATTTCCTCAGATTTACTGGGTCCAGGCTTAAAAGCACACCAATAAAGCTTGTGACAAAGTCCATTCTTTTCCAGAATGTTCACACTCATTTGTAATCTTCCAACAATTTCTCTGTGCAACAACTAATTGCAATTTTAAACCATCTTCTTGTTTTGTTTTGTTTTGGGCTGCACCTGGTGGTGCTCAGGGTTTACTCCTGGCTCTGCACTCCTGGTGGTGTCCAGGGGACCATATGGGATGCTGGGGATCAATTCGTGTTGGGCCCGTGCAAGGCAAATGGCCTACCTGCTGTACTATTGCTCTGGTTCCCTCTGAACGATTTTTCTTAAAAAATTTTTTAAAAGAAAAAAGAAAAAGCAAATTGCTTTTAATAGCTATAGTATTAAGAGCCCCTTTATCTGTATTCCTTTTACTGCTGTCTAGAATGAATACAGGCTGGGGACACTGGTGCCGGGAACACTGTATGACTGAAACCTAATAATGAACAGCTTTATAAGGGTCTATCTCACAGTGATTCAATAATAAAATCTTGAAAAATAAAAAAAAAGAATGCATACAGGGGCCAGAGATATAGTACAGCAGGTAGGGAGGGCACCTGCCTTATAGCCAACCTAGGTTTGACCCCTGTTACCCCATATGGTCCCCTGAGCACTGCCAGGGGAGTGCGGAGCCAGGAGTAAACCCTGAGCATCGCCAGGTGTGACACAAAAACATAAAACAAAGCAAACGAACAACAAAAATCATTCCTGGCTTGGCCAATGTTCTGGAAGCTTAGGACCTTCCCATGTGGCTCTCAGGATCTGCTGATCAGATTGTGGCAACTTCAGAACTGGTTTGTTCAGAGACAGATGGATGAAAGTTGTGGAAAGAAAAGACAAAAATGGCCAACCACCACTATTTTATCTGTAAATTGCCGTAGAAAAATCAATGCAACTTGAGAGTCGGAACAGCCTGTACTAAGGCACTTGCCTTGCACACGGTTGACCCAGGTTTGATCCCTAGCACCCCATCCAGTCCCCTGAGCTCACAGGAGTGATCTGTGAGCACTGCCTGGTGTTGGGGCCCCCGTCAAAAAATCAAAATGACTGCTAAGTCCAGGGGCCAGAGAGATAGTACAGTGGGTAGGGCACTTGCCCTGCATGTGGCAGACCCAGGTTCTATCCCTGGCACCCCATATAGTTCTCCCAAACCCACCAGGAGTGATCTCTGAGTGCAGAAACAGGAATAAGTCCTGCGCACTACTGGGTATGGCCAAAAAAAAAAAAAAAAAAGAAAGAAAAAGAAAAGAAAAGAAAACCAGTATAAGTTCAGTATTCAGACTTGGTAGAAAACAGATCAAATCTATTTTCTCTTTCTGAGTTGTATTTTTATCTCTTAACCAGCAGTGCTCAGGGGTGGGGTGCTGGAAGTCAAACCAGGGTTGGCCACGTGAAAGGCGAGGACCTTAACTTCCATACTTATCCCAAGCCCTCAGAGTTGTATTTTTCTTGATGGATGAAGACCTGACCGAGCACACGTTGACACATTTTCCAGGCTCCACTCCAACACACACACACACACACACACACACACACACACACACACACACACACACATCCCCCACAAAATGCACAAGGATCTGGATTACAAGAACTCTGATCTAATGTTCCCATTCTTTACGTAACTCCGGCTTAGAACATTTCCCTGCTTCTCATTATCAAGCTGACATGAAAAAGAAAAAAAAGCCACCCTAGATGAAATGTTATGACATCTGAGACTTGTTTCCCACTATTCCACAGCGAGAGGGGAGTGGGTGGAGAAACGGGAGGAATGAAGCGGCCTGTGACTGGATCAGCGACAGCCACGGGAGCTGGGAAGGGAGTACTCTACTGCCTACACTGGGGGTGAAAAAACAACGTGGATCATTTCTTTACATCCCTGTGACTAGGCCAGACGTTAAGGGACGCAATAACTCGGATTCTAAGACACGGCTGCGCAAAGCCACTGGGTGCCGTGCAAGACCCGAGCTGGACATCCATTCATATTCCTGGCACATATCAGCATGAGCCTAGCACCCTACTGGCCCTGACCAGCATGTTAACTGACCCGCATGTTAACGAACAGTCTCTGAAAAGAAAGCTTTTGTTGTGTGTAAACACTACACTGTTTAAGCATTAAAATTTGAGTCTAAAAAATACTTAGAAAAGTACATCGCCGGATAACGGCTAAAAATCGATTTTGTTTTCAAGAGAGGCACTTTCAATCTGAGCAAGCCTGGTTCTTAACCCCCACTTACTTCTTCCCAATTCCCAGCCAGGGACGTGGGCTACTGCAGCCCACTTTCGTTCTGATGGGATTATGAGACAGTTTTGTTTTTTTTTTCTTTCAGTTTTTAAAAACACCTACGTCATCTAACTTACTCCTTGGTAAAAACACCTACGTCATCTACCTTACTCTTCATATGACGACTACAGAGATGCTGTTAGGGAGTTATAATCAATATCCTTTGGAGGACAAGGTTGTGGACAAGACCACATCTTCATCTATCTCACTTTACTGACTTAAAATCAACCCCATTCTCGGGGCTGGAGAGATAGCACAGCGGGTAGGGCGTTTGCCCTGCATGCGGCCGACCCGGGTTCGATTCCCAGCATCCCATATGGTTCCCTGAGCACCGCCAGGAGTAACTCCTGAGTGCAGAGCCAGGAGTAACCCCTGTGCATCACCAGGTGTGACCCAAAAAGAGAAAAAAAATCAACCCCTTTTTCAGGGCCAAAGCAATAGCACAGTGGGCAGGGCGCTTGCCTTGCATGCGGTTGACCCAGGCAGGTTCAATCCCCAATATCCCATATGGTCCCAGGAGCACCACCAGGAGTAATTCCTGACAGCAGAGACAGGGGTAAACCCTGAGCGTCACCAGGTGTGACCCAAAACAAAACAAAACAAAAACAAATAATAGTGAAAAAAGAAAATCAACCCATTCTGATCTATGAGACAATCAAATTTGGATCCAAGTAGTGTGCTCTCGGGGGCTGGAGCATGGTGGGGAGGGCGTCTGCCTTGCACACGGCCAACCTGGGTTTGATTCCTACCATCCAGCATCCCATATGGTCCCCCGAGCACCCCCAGGAGTAATTCCTGAGTGCAGAGCCAGGAGCAAGCCCTGTGCATCACCGGATGTGACCCAAAAGACAAAAAACCCAACAAATTAAAAAATCAAAAAAATACCAAATCAAGTAGTGTGCTCCCCGGCACCAAATGTGGGCCCTTTGATTTGTGTGTCCTTGCACACAATGAATGTGCCAAGACCTGAAGCCAGGGGGTGCCTGAGAAGTACTGCTCAAATACTAACCAGATTTTTAAACTGCACTTTCGTGTGGTCCCAGAGATAGAACCAGGACACATACGCAAGGGCCTCACTTGACCACAGAGCCACTTCCTGAGCCCAGATTTTGAAGCCACTATCTGATTTGCCAGCAATGTAAGGACAAAACGGACATCTCATTTTTTTTTTAATTCAATACTGTATCACTGTCTTCCTGTTGTTCATCGATCACCTCGATCAGAGCCCCGGTAGCTGAAGACCTCTGGTTCCAGCCACAGCCACGCTTAAGACCATTCTCTACACGTTCGAACGAGCCTCACGCATGAAGGAACTGGCCGAGGAACCCAGGTTAGCGGGACCCGGGGCGTAGATCTCCAAGCCTGCACGGATTGGGACTGGGGCCTCCTCCACCCAGATCCCTTATCTTCCAGTAAGTAGGCGTTACACCCACCAACTGCCCCGGGGCGCAGTGTAATCCCATCAACGGCCAAGACCCAGAGACTATAAAACCCTGCTCCCAGAAGAGAACACCACAGAGTCTCCTGCCTCCACGCCTGGCTGTCCTCCCAGGGCCCCTTGGAGGAGGGTGGGTTGAGTTTCCCTCCCCACCCCGCGCAGAGCCCCGGCAGCTGAAGACCTCCGGTTCCAGCCACAGCCATGCTTAAGACCACTTTCCACACGTTCGGACGAGCCTCACGTATGAACGAACAAGCCAAAGAACCTAGGTGTGCAGGACCCAGCAATTAACACAATGTTTTAAATCTAATTCATGGGAGTGGTGAAATAATTCTAAGTAAAACCCTTTAATATCTTTATTTGCCGATTTATTTTGGTTTTGGGGCCACACACCGTGGTGCTCAGGGCTTACTCTTGGCTCTGTGCCCTGGGATCACTCCTGGATCAGTCAAGAAATCATAAGGGTGAGAGGGGATTGAAACAGGGTCGACTGTGTTAAAGGCAAGCACCCTGCCTACTGGACTATCTCTCCAACCCCAGGTTAGTAATTTTTTTTTTTTGTCTTTGGGTCTGGAGCAATAGCACAGCGGTAGGGCGTTTGCCTTGCGTGCAGCCAGCCGGCCGTGCCGGGTTCAATTCCTCCACTCCTCTCGGAGAGCCTGGCAAGCTACTGAGAGTATTCAATATGCCAAACACAGTAACAAGAAGTCTCATAATGGAGACGTTACTGGGCCCGCTCGAGCAGATCGATGAACAATGGGAGGACAGTAACAGACAGTGACAGTCTTTGGGTCACACCTGTCAATACACAGGGGTTACTCCTGGCTCTGAACTCAAGAATTACTCCTGGGGGCCATATGGGATGCTGGGACTCGAACCCGGGTCAACCACGTACAAGGCAAACCACCCTCCCCAACACCCTATCATTCTAGCCCCCCACGTTAGTATTTTTAAAGCACTATCACTTCATTCTTTACAAGATTTTATTTATATATGCAAGAAAGCTGTACACACTGTTGTGTAAACCATTATATGTTATTTTCTGACACATAGACTTAACAAAATTCTAAGACAGAGAGAAAGCATGGGGGTTAAGGCGCTTGCCTTGAATCTTATTGTCCCTGGTTCAATCCCTGATACTATATACAGTACCCTGAGTACTCCCATCCCTGAGCATAGAGCCTTGAACGCCCCCTGAACACTGCAGGGTATGGCCCCCAAAAAGGTATGGCCCTTCTCCCTGCCACCACCCCCCCCCTGTCCCACCAAGGGAAAACAAAACAAAACAAAACAATAAAACAAGACCTCTAAAACACAGTCAGAGGGATAGTACAGGGTTTAAGACATTCGCACAACCCAGACGCAGCTGATCCCCAATTCAATCCCAGACCCCCAGTTGGCAAAAATCAGCAGGAAGAGTCTGTGGACCCTGTATACCTTCTCCCCAAAGCCCAGGGCACTGATGTAAAAACTCTCTTTTGCCCCAGAGAGGCTACATCTGACAGCAGAGCGTTGGAGGACATTGACAGGACTCTGCCGTCGAGGTTTGCTTTTTCCTCTAAAGAACTCAGCAGACCCTGGGTGGGGCTTGCTGCCGCCAGGCCCCGACCCACACTCCTGCCTCCACCATCTGTTTCTCTCCTCCATCCCTCCAGACAGCCCAGACACCCTGTCCAATCGGCTTTCTCGGGGCTGAAGAGACATCTCACAGGGTGAGAGCACACCCTGGCTGACTGAGCCCCAGCAATGCAGGGTCACCCGAGCATGGCCTGAGTAACTCTGGGAAGGGCCCGGAACCAACAGCTCCTGCCACAGCCCAGGCCTCTCCCACTCTGTTCAGAACGAGTGTGGCTGGAGAGACAGTTAAGAGCAGTAGGTGCTTTGCCCTGCACAAAGGCTGACCCAAGTTCGAGCCCCAAGCACCACCAGAAGTGATGCCGGAGCACAGAGCCAGGAGGAAGCCCTGAGAACCACAGGGTGACATCCAAAAACAACAACAGCAACCAAAAAAAATGAGTTAAAAAGAAAAGAAAAATGAGTTAGCCAAGCGTAGAGACCCCGTAGAAGTCTGTGTAAGCTCCATCCTTTCCGACAACAGGCGTGAGAGTAAATTAGTATTCCCACGGCAGAAGAAAATACGGCTCAACCATCATCCTTCTCTCATCAGCACCCTGGGCTGGGGCCCTGCTCACCAGATGGAATACAGCTCCTCCCCCTTTCCTGGGGAGAAATGTCCTTCCAGTGTCTGCCTCTCCCCATGTGCTGACTAGTCCAGCTCAAAGTTCCCAGCAACCAAGGCTGCACTTTCCCCTCACATCCCACTGACCAGCACAAGGCGGCTCAGAACACTAGCACCCGGGGGGCCGCCTCCTGCGGCTGGACAGCCAGCCCTGGGCAAACGGAATTTAATGACAATGGTTTGGGGGTAAGACTGGGACCAGCCCAAGAAGTGATTTTACTGTCTAATCTGTTGCTAGCTGTTAGGAATCCACTTTTCTTTAAAAAAAAAAAAATTTGGAGGTGGGAGGAAGGGGTGAGGGTGGTGGGAAAGATACTGGGAATATTGGTGGTGGTGAATGGGCACTGGTGGAGGGATGGGTACTCCATCATTGTATGACTGAAATGGAAGTATGAAAGTTTGTAAGTCTGTAACTGTATCTCACGGTGATTCATTAAAAAAAAAAAGCAACCCCCCCCCAAATTTTTTTTAAAAGAGTGGGGGCACAGTTCACCTTGCTTGCATCTCACCGAGGGGCCTGATCCCTGGCACCACATAATGGACCCCCAAGACCTGTGGGGCATGCCCCTGGACACAGATCCTGGAGTAAGCCCTGAGCACTTCCCAGTGTGGCCCCAAAAATGAAGTGCTTCTTCCTCGTCCCAGGATGGGAGAAACATGCTGAAAGTAGACTACAGACCAAACATGATTGCCACTCAATGCCTCTTTTGCAAACCACAACACCCAAAAGGAGAGAGAGAACAAAAGGGAATGCCCTGACAGAGGCAGAGTGGGATGGGAGGGATGGGGGGTGGGAGGGATACTGGGACCCGTGGTGGTGAGAAATGGGCACTGGTGAAGGGATGGGTATTTGATCATTGTATAATTGAAACTCAAGCACAAAAATGTGTAAGTCTACAACTGTACCTCATGGTGTCTCACTAATTAAAAAAAAAAGAAAAAAAAATGAAGTACTTCTTTTTCTCTCTAAAAACCCCTTCTTGAGACAGTGAAGACAGCCGCTTTGGGAAAGTGAGTCCACCATCCTTCAACCTGCAGGCTCGTTCCCAATAAAGATTCTTCTTGGCGGCCCCTCAAAATGAAAAATAGTAATACAGATAAATGACAACTAAAAGTAAAACCACAGAAGATACTCTGGGAGACAGCATAACCAAGTGCTGATACAGGACATTTAAAGTGTTGCAAGATAGTATAGCAGGAGGGCACCTGCCTTGCACGCGGCTGACCAGGATTCAGTCCTGAGCACCCCATATATTACCCCGGGCACTGCCAGGAGTGACTTCTCAGTGCAGAGCCAGGAGTGACCCCTGAGCATTGCTAGGTATGGCCCAAAAACAAAAAAAAAAAAAGAGCGCTGCAAAAGTGCTAATTCAGACCACCTTGGAATCGTCTATATGTGAAAGTTTTCTTTTAAACAGATTTTTTTCCCCCCACCATTAATTTCAAAGTTATAAGAAGGCAAGAGAGATAGTACAACGTGTGGGATACACATGGCCTTGCACATGGCAGACCGGAGCTTGATCCCTGGCATCCCATACAGTTCCCAGAGTCCTGCCAGGAACACCTGAGCACAGAGCTGGGAGTGAGCCTGAGAACTTCTATGGCCTCCAAAACCAAAAAAAGAAAAAAAAGTTATAATGCAGGTCAAAGGGAAAACTTATACATACCTAAACATATATATATATTTTTTTTTTTGCTGAAATTAATTTTATAATTAATTTTGCTGTGATATTTTTCTACAAAGTTTCGGATAATTATGGGGGGGGGGGAAGCCCTATCAACCCGTTTGAAAGCACCAGTTGACTTACTGGAAGTAAATCTGAAACGAACGTTTTCCTTCTGACTTTTCTCTTAGGAGAGACTCCATCCATTTCATCATCTTCGATCACAGCCGCAGCTCCGTGAGCACTGTCCAGGAGCTCCTCAGTCTCCGCGGCAGTTTTGAGCCTCTGGGCCTCGGCCTCCTTCATCTGCAGAACCATTTCCCCGGCATCCATCTCCAAGACTCCCGACAGGATCTTGAGTATGGCATTGATGGTTTCCGCCTGACTTTTGGATGGGATAATGTCCTTTACATTCCAAACCGTGCCTGGGAGAGGGGTGAGCAAAAGCACAAAGCCATCGCCTGTGAGATCTGTCGCCAAGTGCGGCTTTCACGAGAAGATTTTCGTGCAGGCCCTGCATGCCACCCCCGCGACACCGTCTCTTCCACGGGCATTGCTCTCCTCTGACAGAATGCACAGCAGCAGAGAACGAGCAGGCCGATCAGGTTTCCTGTAAAGTGGCAACTCAGCGGCTTCGCTCTCCTGCATCTCAACCTGAGCTGCTCTCCACAGCAGCATCTGATATTCCACGAGGGGAATAGAATGTACGAGAATCTCAACGTCTCACATACAAACTAGAAAGAAGGTGCTTGGTCTCTCGCTTACCAAAAGAAAACAGAAACGACCACTGGGACTAATTTTTGTAAGGGACTATAAAAATACTTCCTGGGCTGGAGCAATAGCACAGCAGGTAGGGCGTTCGCCTTGCACGCGGCCGACCCGGGTTCGATTCCCAGCATCCCATATGGTCCCCTGAGCACCGCCAGGAGTGATTCCTGAGTGCAAAGCCAGGAGTAAAAAAACTTCCTAAATGGTATATACTTTAAAAAAAAAAAAAAACGGAAAGCAGAGATTCAAAATGGTATTTTTATACCCATACCCATAGCAGTATTCTACATAGCCAAAATGTTGAAGCAAACGGTAGTGTCTGTCCTGTAATGAACAGATCAAAAGTAGCACGTACCATCATGTGTCATTTCTGACAATGAGGGATTTTTATATACAACAGTGGTCACCAGGTGTGCGGTCAGCCTCACTGGGTCTGCACAATAGTTCTCTATGACATTCATGCGGTCATGAAATCAGTCAACAAGGCAATTCTTAGAACCCATCCCTGCTGGTGGGGCCAGAGTGGTAACAGAGTGAGCAGGGTTCTTGCCTTCCACAAGGCCAACCCGGGTTCCAGAGCCAGGAGTAAGCCCTGAGCACTGCCCCCAAACAAAAGAAACCTATACGATATTATTCAGTCTTAGAAAGGCAGGAAATTCTTTTTTTTCCAAGTTAATTTATTTTTATTTTTTTGGCCATACCCAGTGATGCTCAGGGGTTATTCCTGGCTCTGCACCCAGGGATCACTCCTGGCAGTGCTGGATGGCGGGGTAAGGGGGAGTGTTGTCTATATGAGATGCTGGGGACTGAACCCGTGTAAGGCCACGTGAGAGACAAGTGCCCTACCCACTGTATTATCTCTCCAGCCACAAGGAAAGTAGGAAATTCTGAAACATGCTACCAGATGGATGGATCTTGAGGACAGACAGATGCTCAGTGCAAGAAGCCAATCACATATAGAAAAATCCTCTGTGACTCCACTCACGCAGTACCTGCCACTAAGGTCTTTAAGAGCAAGTACTCCATGGACGTGCCGGGACAGAGCATTGCTGCCTCCAGCACCTGCAGTGCCGGGGCACTGAAGGCTTTCAGCAGCTCCGGGTTCTCTTCAGTCACTGTCTGCAAACAATAGGCTACAAAGACAAAAGTAAGATAAAATAAAAATTTAAATATTTAGGGACAAATCCTGCAAGGACCATTTATATCAACTGAACCCATAAAAACACACCTGCATCTTGACAACTGCTTCAGACACACAGAGCCTTTGCCGGCTAAAAACACACTTCATTTCAAGGATGGTGCATAAACTATAAACTTATAAATGATCTGTGGGAATAAAAGACCACTTTTTCTTTTTCTCAAGGTTCCAAACCTTTACAGAACCGTAACATTATTTGGTTCTTTTTTTTTTTTTTTTAGGGAGAGGCATGGGGGCTTTCCAGGAGGTGCTCAAGAGCCCTGAGGGGCCGGGCACTGGCCACCCAGCAGGCCAATGCTCAGGCCAGAGGCCAAGGGGCAGCCTGGCACTGCTGGGGAGCTGGGGGGGGGGCTTCCAGGACCACCCCTGGTGATGCATGGAAGGCACAGGGATCAAACCCAGGCGGGGCTCACACAAGGCTGGCACATTAGCCCCTGTACTAGGTCTCTGGCCCCCAGAACTGCATTCTTATAAAATACAATTGGAGGGGCTCTTAAATACAGTGGCAACGCGTAATTACTATACACATCTGCAAACACTGCTCCTCAGTTTCTGTAATCACTGAGAATCAGTTACAAACAATCTGGGAACTGAACATTGGTCCCCGAAACCGAATTCTTAGGCTAATTTTATTGTTCAATCCCCAGCACCATATATTCTCCTAAGCCCCACCAGGTGTGATCCCTGAGCGCCACTGGGTGTGGATTCCCAAAACAAAACATCAAAAATTTCAGCATGTAGTAAAGAATCAGAATATTTCTGGTGAAGCGATAGCTTTCCAAGAAGGGACTAAGTGACAGTATAGTGGGCAGGACACATGTCTTTTTTTTTTTTTTAGGACACATGTCTTGCATGCGGCTGACCCGGGTTCGATCTCTGGCATCCCATATGGCCCCCAAGCCCACCAGGAATGATCCCTGAATGTGGAGTCAGGAGTAACCCAAGCATCGGTGGGTGTGTGCCCTCCAAAAAAAAACCAAAAAAACAAAAAAACAAAAAAAAAAATGAAGAAGTGTAGAGAGTATATATATAAAGACCAATCAACTGTTTAATACTTAACACCTTGCATTACAACAATATTATCTGTATATTAGAGATAACCAAGTGAAAAAACAATTGGGATTTCATGTAATTATCAACAAAAGATGTTGCTTCTTTTATTTTTGGGGGATTTTTAAAAAATTTCCTGGCAATGCTCAGGGGCTACTCCTGCCCTACCCACTATACTATCACTTGGGCCTAAAAGAGAATTCTAAACACACAGAAGGGAAACTTAAGTTCAAATTGTTTCTTTAAATTATCCTACTGAGGGCTGGAAAACATCTCAAGGGGTTGAGCATATACTTTGTATGTTGGAAGCCCAGGTTCAATCCCTGGCCCCCCTGGTCCTGCAAACACCTCCAGGAGTGACACTGAGCACAGAGCCGGAAGCCCCCAAGCACTGCCAGGTGTGGCCCCAAAACAAAAACAAGGGGCTGGAAAGACAGGACAGGAGCTAAAGCACTTGCCTTGCATGCAACCAGCCCTGGTTCAATTCTTGGTACCACATACATGATCCCCAGAGCATCATAGGAGTGAACCCCAAGAACAGAGCCAGGAGCATTCCTCAGAGCACTGCCAAGGTGTAGCCAAAAAAAAAAAAAAAAAAAACCCACAACACCCAAAAACCAAACCAAACCAACAACAAAAAGAAAAAACAGAAATTCTATTAAAAATCTACTTTTCCCCCAGGTTTAATATTTTGAAATAAATAGTGTTCATCCAAATTAGTCAGAACACAAACTATTGCTATGATCTAGTTTGGTTTACAAAACACACACACCTCAAATGTAATTTTTCTGAGATTAAATTCTTATGGCAAAAAACCAACTAGTGATTGCTATCATCAAGACTAAGTATGGGAGCTGGAGTAATCTGGTCCCCCAAGCCCCACGGGAGTGATCCCTGAAGGCAGAGCCAGGAGTAAGCCCTGAGCATTGCTGGGCGTGACTCGAAAATCAGAACAAAACCGAGACCACACAACAAGTGTGCAGCTCAGTGGTCAAGCACACATTTCAACATGTGTAAGTCTTCGGGTTCAAGCTCCAGCACCACAGCTCTGGGCCCCAAAAAGAACACAAAGCTCAAAGAAGACATATTAACACATAAGATGGGATCTCAGGAGTTCACTTTACTATATGGAAGTCTTGCTTAATTTCTGAAACTAGTAATATGATATTTGTTTTAAAAATCATGGGCTGGAGCTGGAGCGATATCCCAGGGGGTAGGGCGTTTGCCTTGTGTGCGGTCGACCTGGGTTCGATTCCCAGCATCTCATTTGGTCCTCCGAGCACCGCCAATAGGAATTCCTAAGTGCAGAGCCAAGAGTCACCCCTGCGCATCAACGGGTGTGACCCAAAAAGCAAAAGAAAAATAAAATTAAATTAAAATTAAAATCACGGGCCAGAGAGAGAGTACGGTGAGTGGGTAGGGGCTGGCCTTGCTCACGGCCAAGCCAGTTCGCCCCCTAACACTCCTACATGGTTCCCCAGAGCCCACCAGGGAGCACAGAGCCCATTCCTGAGTACAGAGTCAGGAATAAGCCCTGAGCACCCACAGGTATGCCCACCCCACCCCACCCCCCAAAAAAAAATCATGAATGGGGACACTGGTGGAGGGTTTCATGCACTGCACGTATGAAATCCAATCATTAATAGTACTGTAAATCATGATGCTTAAAATTTTAAATTACCTAGTTTTTGAAAACTAGGGCCCAGAGGAAGAGCAGAGCCGTGGGCGCCTGCCTTGGAACCATATGATACAGGTTCAAACCCAGTGTCCCCCAAAGAGTGAGCAGGACCCCGGGAACTCTGCTCTCTGCAATCCCTGGAGCCAGAAGCCTCATGCGGGGTGTGTACTACCTCACCACCTAAAGAAGCCTAAAGGGCCGGGGCCCAGGGAGCACTGCGAACAACGGCTGGCCGCCCGGGAGCTTGTACCTGAGCAAAGAGTGAGTCCCCGACAGGCAAGTGTGCGAGCACCACTAAAGGAGAATAAACTTTGGTGAGCACCCCAGGAGGGAGAGAGAAATGCAAGGATGGCAGCCAGGCACGTGTACAAAGGGCAGTAACAAACAGGCTGGAGTGGGGCTCTAGCGGGGAAAGTGTTCGCCTTGCACGCAGCCGGCCTGGGTTAAATCCCGGATACCACGTATACAGTCCCTGAGCTCTACAAGGAGTGATCCCTGATCACAGAGCCAGGAGGAAGCCCCAAACCAAAAACGATATGAAAGGGGTTGGAGCAACAGCACAGCAGGGAGGGCATTTGCCTTGCACGCGGTTCACCAGGGTTCGATTCCCAGCATCCCATACGGTCCCCCGAGCACCGCCAGGAGTAATTCCTGAGTGTATGAGCCAGGAGTAACCCCTGTGCATCACCAGGTGTGACCAAAAAAAAAAAAAAAGGATTTAAAAAAATCATTGCAAAAGTTACTTTCTTATAATTCATTCTTAAAAGTTCATCAATGTTGGGGTTGGAGTAATAGTATAGAGGGAAGGGCGTCTGCCTTGCGCATGGCCAACCCAGGTTCGATCCCTAGCTTCCCACATGGTCCCGTGGTCCCTTGAGTTCCTCTAGGAATAATTCCTGAGTGCAGAGCCAGAAAAAAAAAAACACCCAGCATTGTTGGATGTGGCCCCAAAACAAAAACAATTAAAAAGTTCATTTAAAAAAAATAAACACTTAAAAAATTAAGGCTACAATAAAACCAAGGGGCACAATAACAAGGGAAAGGGAAATTCTTCTTTTGAAAGTTACAGACCAAGAGGCTGGAAAGATTGCACAGTAGGCAATATATTTGCCTTGCCTGACCAGGGTTCGAATCCCTGCACCCCCGTTTCCCCTAGCCCTGTCATGAGTGATGCCTGAGCACAGAGCCAGGAGGAAGCCCTGACACAGCCGGATGTGGCCTCCAAAACCAAAACAAAAATGCTATGGAACAGGGGCCGGAGAGACAGCAGAGCGGTAAGGCACTTGCCCTGGGCTTGCCTTGCTGGCGCAGGTTCGATCCCTGGCATAAGCAGTGCGTGGTCCCTGAGCACAGAGCTAGGAGCAGCCCCTGAGCACTTCTGGGGATTGTGTGTCCTCCCAACACACACAGGAAAAAGAGCGTCCGTTGGGGAACCAGAGAGATGGTTCAACAGGCCTGTTCCAGCCTTGGCACTGCATGGTCCCCAGTCCAAAGCACTGTCAGAAGCAACCCCTGAACACCAGAGTTGGGATAAGCCCTTGATGACCACCAAGTGTGGTCCAAAATGGTCCCCCAAAATAGTATTCATTGGGAAACACTGTTGCAACCATGTTGCCCAAATTAGAGAGATTAAAAGAGAGGGGCTGGAGCAATAGCACAGCGGGTAGGGCGTTTGCCTTGTACGCAGCCAACATGGCCGACCCAGGTTCGATTCTCAGGATCCCATATGGTCCCCCGAGCACTGCCAGGAGTAATTCCTGAGTGCATGAGCCAGGAGTAATCTCTGAGCAACGCCAGGTGTGACCCAAAGGGCAAAAAAAAAAAAAGAGAAACAAAAGTATCCATTAGGGCGCCATAGCAATTCCACAGCTCCAGCCTTGCCCACCTGGATTTGATTTGATTTGATCCCTGGCACATCCCACATGGTTCCCTGGGCACCTGCAGGAGTTGGGAATGATCCCGGTGTGGAAAGCCAGGAAGAAGCAAAAAAAAAAAAAAAAAAAAAAAGGATCCAATAGGGTCAAGAGAAACATTGGTAATGGGAATTTATCTGTGCAAGGAAAAATGCAGTAACTGAAAGAACAGTTAGATGTCTGCCTTAATAATGGAAATAAGAGAAATATTCTTAGAATGGAGAGAGGTCTGAGGGCTGAGGTGCACGCATGGTAGGTACAGAGCCCTGCGTTCCAGACCCGCCACCACAGGGCATCACAGGGCCCCAGGGCCAGGGAGCAGCACTGGGTCCAAGCAGCACCAACTGCCAGTCTCAGCACTGAGCTGGCAGCCTGCACAGCCAGACGAGTCTGGTTGGGAGTGAGCCCCAGCATCCCCCCCACAGCAATGCTAAGGGGGAGAGGGAGAGAGAGACAGAGACACAGAGACACAGAGAGACAGACAGACAACCACAGCTAGGACGCCAGGCCTTACTTCCCCTGTCCCACCGCAGGGAAACAACGAAGGTTCTCTAGGTGAAATTTGCGCAATTTCAAACATTTCTCTCTGTTAAAGGGCTAGAGAGATAGCACAGCGGGTAGGGCATTTGCCTTGCACGCGGCCGACCCAGCTTTGATTCCTCTGCCCCTCTTAGAGAGCCTGGCAAGCTACCAAGAGCATACCGCCTGCACAGCAGGGCCTGGAAAGTTCCCCATGGCGTATTCGATATGCCAAAAACAGTAATGACAAGTCTCACAGTGGAGACGTTATTGGTGCCTGCTCGAGCAAATTGATTAACGGGAGGAGAGTGCTATAGTGCTACCTCTGTTAAAAAGGCATAGGTGGGCCACAGAGATAATACAGCAGGTAGGGTGCTTGCCTGGCATATGGGTTCAATCCCCAACGCCCATATGGTCACCCAAGCACACTGCGAGTGAACCCTGAGCACAGAGCCAAGAGTAAGCCCTGAACACCACTGGCCATGGCCCCCAAAACAAAAAGCAGCAACAAGGAAAGTACAAGTGATAGGAACAAGAAAGCACAGGTTCAGTTGGGCAGAGGGTGGAGTAGGTAATCTTTGGTTTGGTGAGGTCACACCTGCAGTGCTCAGAGGCTACTTCTGGCAGTGCTCTGGGGATGATGTGGTACTGAGGATTGAGCCTAGAGCTTCCTATGTGCAAAGTCTGTGTTGTCCCCACGCCCAAGGTTCTCAGGTTTTTGCTAGTGCATGGGTTAATGATAGAAGACTTTTAGATAAGTCTAGATTTCATTTAAGATTGGCTCACAGGCTTGATGGCTATGGGAGATTGTTCTCAGCAAAAGGCAGGTGGAAGTTTCAAGAATTAATCAAGGATCTAAGAACCTAGTACGCTGAGAACTACAGAAGTTCACACAGTTCCCTACTTTCCTTTGCAGCATGAAGAACAGGAAAACTGAACATGTATGGAAAGTATTATTAACTACAGACTTTAAAAGATCCAAAACACACAGAACGCCTCTGCTATACATTTAAATATAATTAATGAAAAAGAGTTCTATGAAACAAACATCTATGTCTGAATAAAATATTTTTAATAAGGCCACACATACTTCAAAAATCATCACCTTTCTTCACTTACCTACTGAAATAGCCAGGTCAACATTGGTGGAAAACCTACTTAAATACTTTAATACAATCTCCAAACACCCTTCTTTGTTGAACATAGATACTGCTCTACTACTGCATTCACTAAATTGAAGGGGGAAAAAAAAGTTTTACTATTCACATTTTAACAATGAGAAATCAACCACAGTAGTTAATAAAAATTTACATGCAACTTTATAGAAGAACCAAACACTTGCAGTCAAACACCCACCATATTTATAAATAAATCGATGCCCACTCAAATTCACTGGACATTTTTCAAAAATTTCCATTCTGTAACTTTTTCCTTTTCTTTTTTTTTTTTTAATCATAGTAGGACCTGTAAGTCAATCTCTACCATTTTGTTACCTGCCAATTTCCAATGATTAGAACAGGGACACATCTCAGAAATCACTTATTTCAATTTTCCGTTCTATGAAGTAACTGAGATCCTCATAGCCAAAGAGCACATATTCTGTTAGCAGAGGAATCTGGCTCAGTTCTAAATTGCCTGGGTCCAGTTTACTGTTCTAACACACCACAATAATAAGTTAAAAGATGAAAGACCAATGGGTTGTTGCATTAAAAAGCAAAAACTTTACAGAAAGTAAAATTAAACCCTATTCATTCTTAGACTGCTATAATTTCAAAAGCAGAATTTATATTCTGCAACAAATTCCTACATTTTTAAAATTTATACTTTTAATTAAAAAATCAGAATTTTTAATTAAAAATCAGAACTTATCAATATCAATGTTATCAATAAGCATACATGCTAAGTACAAAATTAATTATAATTTTATCTATGTTTCCAGAGAAAAACAGACCTCCATATATGCCGCAAACCACAGACACATTAACAGCTAACAGTGCTAATTAAAGCATTAATTGCATCCTTGTTAGCTAAACTATTTTTGATCTCCCTACTTACTATTTTGTTGTTACTGTGTTTGGCATATCGAACATATCATGGGCGGCTTGCCAGGCTCTGCCATGGAGCGATAGCACAGCGGGTAGGGCGTTCGCCTTACAAGCGGCCAACATGGCCGACCCGAGTTCGATTCCTCCGCCCCTCTCGGAGAGCCCGGCAAGCTACCGAGAGTATTCGATATGCCAGACACAGTAACAACAAAGTCTCCAATGGAGACGTTACTGGGCCCGCTCGAGCAAATCGACGATCAACGGGAGGGCCTTTACCTTTACCTTACTTACTATAATTCTGCTATAAGCATATCCTAAAAAATCATACAGTATATTCAAGAAAATAAGTACACATGAGTTAAAATAAAACACAGATATACATAAATATTTTTTAAACTATTGGAGACAGACCACACCTTGCATGCAAGAGTTTCTGGGTTGATCCCTGGCACTGCTGGGAACAACTCCCAAATATTGAGCTGGGAGTAGTCCCTGAGCACTGTCGGGGATGGACAAAACACAAACAAAACATATCTGAAATAAAATATATAACGTCTAATAATCTAAAATATAAATTATGTAACAAAATGTTAGGAGCCACAATATCAGGCAATGACAGGGCTCAGAGCAATTAGAAAAGGAAGATCACTTTTGAAGTACATTCAGGCTCTCACCAATTAAAAAAATAAATTGGGGGAGGCGCTGGAGAGAGAGTACAGTGGGTAGGGCACTTGCCTTGCACTCGGTCAACCAGGGTTCAATCTCTGGCTTCCCAAAGGATCCCCCAAGCACCACCAGGAGTGATCCCAGTGTACTGGGCCAGGAGTAAGCCCTGAGCATCAACTCAGGAGTGGCCCAAGAGCCAAAATGGAAAAAAAGAAAAAAAAATTTTTTGAGGTGAATATGACTCCCAGAACCTCATATATATGCTCTACCACTAAGCTATGCCCTAGGCCTTAGCAAAAATAAATAAATAAATAAAAACCTCTTACTTAATTCTAAGGCCAATATTTTATATAAGTTAAACTTATCTATTGCAGAGAAAAACACAGCTTGCTCAAATGTCATTTTCTCAAATCTGTTCTCTCCAATTTTCCTGGTGGAATGCATCCACGAGTATGAAATGGAGACACAAGCAGGTGGAGAGTCTAGGCTGGCAGCTTTCAGTACCCAAATTAACCTTGAATTCTAATAAACGTCTGTGCTTTTCGGCTGGAGGTTATTATTTACCCACCGCTGGCTAAAAATAAGAAATGATAGCATAATCTTGCTAGAAATGTGGGTCATTTGACAGGATAAAAAATATATATTGGTACTGAAGCAATAGTACAGCGGGGAGGGCGTCTGCCTTCCGACCCGGGTTCAATCTGACATTCCATATGAGCATTCCTGAGCATCGCCGGGTGTGACCCAAAAAGCAAAAAATAAATTATATATATATATATATATATGTGTGTGTGTGTGTCCAGTCATGGAATGGACCATGACCTCCTTCCAACTAAGTGAGCCAGTAGAAAGACAAACAGAGGATGATCTCACTTATCTCTGGTAAACAGAATAGCTGGAGAAGGAAATGGAATGTAGTAAAGAGGGCTAAGCCGAGATCACCCTTGACCCAAGAGTAAAGGGAGGAGGACAGAGAAGGAAAGAAATCGAGGGAGGAAGATGAGAAAGGGCAGTAAACAGGGGCTGGGGCTTCAGTTAAACAGGTGATGTGGGGGAGTTACAGAAGCCAAGGGAGCTTCCAGAGGTTTCCAGTCCCTTGTCAAAGGGAAACTGTCGGGCAGGAAAGAAGAGCAGGATCCTGTCGTCCTTCTGGGCAGCACCACAGCAGCCGTGCACGAAAGTCCAGCTGGGTTTAACACGACTGCTGCAGGGCTGGCGCGACAGAACAGAGGGTAAGGAGGGCTCTCTCCTTGCACGCGGCCGACACGGGTTCGATACCCGGCATCCCATATGGTCTTAAAGACCTCTCCAGTGAACCCTGAACGCAGAGCCAGGAGTAAGCCTTGAGCACTGCCAGGTGGACTAGAGAGACAGGACAGTGGGGAAGCCTCTTGCCTCACACGCAGCCAACCAGGATCTGATCCTAGCGACACGCACGATCCTTCAAACTTTGCCAGGGGTGATCCCATAACACTGAGCCAGGAGGAAGCCCTGAGCACTACTGCATGTGGACCAAAAAAGAAAAAAAAAAGAACCACAAAGGCTGACACACAGGACAGGGGTGCAGATGACAATAATGATCAGCAAGTCTCTTTTTTGGTCAGTAACCATTAACTGAAAGAGAAGCAAAGTAAAGCAAAAAAGATGAAGGAAGGCTACGAGGAAAACAGCTGAGGAAGACAGGTTGCTTTAGGGTCACTACTCCCACCCCGCTGTGACCTCCAGGGGCCACAGATCCACCCAGAGAAGACCTGCCCACAGCCGGAGAGAAACAGCAGCGGGGGGACAGGTCTGGAAGGCACCTCACCATATATTCCACAGCACGTTCACCGCCTCGTTGGCTATGGCCTCAACAGAATTTCTGTTCTGATCTTTTTTTTCCCGTGGAGAGGTCTCATTTGCATCCAGTCCGGCACTACACTGTTACCAAATATCTTGATTAGTACCCTAGTTCAAGGGAGTCGTTAAACAACAACAACAAAAAAATTAAATATCAGGAATGATCGTGGAGGACAAGTCAATCCAATTCACAATAACAGCTTAATCCCAACAATCCCATTCTGTTTCGGTTATAAAGGCAAGAAAGTTACATAAAGCCAGCTTACAAGCTGAATATAAAGCATTACATGTTTCAAATGTAAAACAGAAAGTCAGTGCAAAGTATTTTATCCAATATGGTATAGATAGGAAAGACCAAAAGGAAAAAAAAGTGACATAAACCACGGTTAAAAGTCCCTTCTAAACTGTGGTGAAGGAACTGACTGTTCAAGCTTTTTACATCCATTACTGAATCCTCACGGCAAATCTGTCAAACAGCAGAAATCTTATTCCCAATCTCTCCCTACAAATAGAAGACTGAAGTATAGGAAAAATGCTAAAAGAATAGTCTATTAGTAGACATCTTCATAACTCATTCATCTAGTAGATACACTGCATCTTCATAATCCATTCAGTGGATACTTAGTAACTCAGATACAGATATCTGAGTTACTGTACTAAATGCAGCAATGAATAATGGTGTGTATATATGTCCTACCAAATGAATGTTTTTATGTTCTGGGAATAGACATTATGGCAGGAGAGAACGCTCCATACTGTTTTCCACAGGGGCTGACGCAAACAACATTCCCACACATAATGGAGTATTATGCAGCTGCAAGGAATGATGGCGTCATGCAATTGCTGCAATCTGGTTGGAACTGGAAGACATCACGATGAGTGAGGTAAGCCAGTAGGACAATCGCAGGATGATCTCACTGTAGAAGAGGATATGCAGTGTAGTCAAGAGGAGAGTGTGTGGGGGTGGGGAAATGCCAAGATCGCCCTTGATCCAAGAGTACAGGGAGGAAAAGGACAGAGAAGGAAAGAAATTAAGGAAGATGAAAAAAGGAAGTAATGGGGGCTGGAGCATCAGCACAGCGGTAGGGCGTTTGCCTTGCATGCAGCCGACCCGGGTTCGATTCCCAGCATCTCATATGGTCCCCTGAGCACCGCCAGAAATAATTTCTGACTGCAGAGCCAGGAGTGACCCTTGTGCATCACCGGGTGTGACCCAAAAAGCAAAAAAAAAAAAAAAAAAAAAAAAGGAAAAAAGGAAGTAATGGGGAAACAGAGGTGGGGGCTCTCAGTTAGACCAGTTATATGGGAGAGGGGTATAGTGTGTTTCTAAAGCACAGACTCCACAACACTGAAAACACGCAATCTACACTACAACCCCAAACTTTTTTCTTTCTTTTTTTTTTTTTTTTAAGATTTTAAAGAACTGTGATTTGCAGAGTTACTGATAGCTGAATTTTAGGCATACAGTATTCCAACACCAATCTCACCACCAGTGTCAACTTCCCTCCACCTGTGTTCTCATACTTCGTCTCCCCCCACCCCTCCACCACCCCATGCCCCCTTCCCCGTGCCACCTTGACAGGTACATTACAAAGTTCAACCACAAACTTTGAAATGTGCCTATCAAGGAGGCAGAAGGGGTGAGGAGGAAGCCTGGGGAACCCTGGTGGAGGCAAGTTGACACTGGTGGTGGGATTGGTGTTGAAACACTGTATACTTAAGGCTCAACTATCAGTTACTTTGTAAATCATGGTTCTAGTCCAGCAGACCTGGCTGCTATGGGGGGTGGGGGAGTGCTCTGACCCAGACCCTCTGGCTGCAGGCAGAATGGGTGCTCCCGGTTGCTGTGGAGCACGACCCCCTTGCAGTCTCTGGAACCGGGCTTCTCCCTCTTGGCACGATGGACGCTCTGGACCAAGTGATGCATTGTGGTGGGGGCTGTCACGTACTCTGTAGAACGTATAGCACATTCCTGTCCGCTGCCCACCACATGCCGATAATAACCGTGACAGTCAGAAATGGCTCCAGACGCCACCTGAACACCCTCTCAGTGGGGCAGACCACCCCCAGCTGAGAAGCACGGCTCGAAATAGAAGCTCAACGCCTCTCACTGAAACGGGAAATTCTTTAAAAGTGGAAACCAGGCAGGCAGAGAGAAGAGGAGGGCCGCCGAGACAGCGCCACAGGCTGGAGCACTGGCTGCGGGTGCACAAGTGCCAGAGATCCCAGTCGGACCCCCTGCACCTGACGGTCTCCCAGGGCCCCGAACATCCAGCCCGCCAGGGGCCACACCCTGAGCACAGAGCCAGGAGTCTCCTAGGCACTGCCAGACGCGAACCAAAAACAAAATCCAAAGGGAATAGCTGGTCAAAGGCATGCCAGAGGGAGAACTGCTAATCCCTGGAGCACATTCGCCAAAAAGATGGGCAAGATAGAAAACTTTGACAACTTGGGACCAGAGAGACAGTCCAGGGGTTGAGGCACTTGGCCAGCTGACCCCGGTTGGTTCCCGGAATCTCATATGGTCCCCTAAGCACTGCCACAAGTGAGCCTTAGCATTGCTGGGTGTGGACCAAAAACAAACAAAAAAGTAAGGCAGGCTGGAGAGATAGCACAGCAGGTAGGGCGCTTGTTTGCCTTGCAGATAGCCAAGTAGGGTTTGAAGCACACATATGGTCCCCTGGGCCTGCCAGTAATAATCCCCGAGCACAGCCAGGTGGAACCCCAAAAGCAAATTTGAAAAAAAAGAATGAGAGGGGGCTGGAGCAATAGCACAACGGGTAGGGCGTTTGCCTTGCACGCAGCCCACCCGTGTTCGATTCCCAGCATCCCATATGGTCCCCCGAGCACCGCCAGGAGTGATTCCTGAGTGCAAAGCCAGGAGCAACCCCTGAGCATCGCCAGGTGTGACTCAAAAAAAGCAAAAAAAAAAAAAAAAAAAAAGAATGAGAACTTCATTTAATTTTCATGGCTAATTCCTTGTGTCTGTGTCTCAGCTTCCTCGTCTGTAAAATGGGGATAATACCTGCCGAATGAAAGGGCTGTAAGTAGTCAACGAAATAATTCACAAACACAAAATACACCTGTAGGCACACAAATTCGCAATCAATTGTAACACTAATTTTTATCATGTAACGCTTAAGTGCAAAGAAGTCAGCCGAGGGCCAGAGAGAGGCCTCAGCCGACTGGTGCTCATGCTTTTGCACATGGAGGCCGAGGTTCTATCCCTGGTATGCAGGGTCCCCTGTGCACCGCCAGGAGCAGCTGCCTAGCACAGAGGCAGGAGTTGACCATCGATGTGGCCCCCAAACAAAGAGTCAGTCTAGAGTTTAATGAAGATCCGATAAGCCAACAATTGTCTGCTTTTCTCTTCTGTTTTGTTTTGGGGCCACAACAGGGGTCAAACCAGCATCTTCCACAGGCTGAGCACACACGCAGTCCTTTGAGCAATCCCTGCAGACCCTCGAGGCAATTACCATCTAATTAAAGATAGCAGGGACAAAATAATAGAGGCTGTTATCAATGATGAGAGAGACAGCATTTCTAAGAAAAGTAAAATAGAGAATGTTCTCAGAAAAGACCAATAAACCCAAGCACTGAAACAAAAGCAAACTTCAGCTTTTTGAAAGCAAACTTGAAAGCCAGCATACCTCTCTCAGCAGCGCGACCAGAGGCGTCATGATGTCCTTGGTGACCATGTCATCGCAGACGTCAAAGCCTCCACAGGCGCTGAGGTTTCTATACAGACGAGTACAGCGTGTCACTTTCAGCTCACGAGCCACGAGGCACATTAAGCTCCCAACTCTCTTTAGTTGGGGAGTTGCAGAGGTTGGGTTGGTGCAGGGGATCAAACTTCCCTAGGACGCCTCACACAACAGCATCGTAAGCTCTACCACCGAGCTCACTCCAGGCCCCTCGGATTTATTCCTTCCTTCCCACCTCCCTGGTTTTTTGGGCCACACCTGGCAAGGCTCGAGGGTCATTCCTGGCAGCATTCAGAAAACATTATGGGATGGTAGGGATCAAACCCAGGTTGACTGAGGCAAGGTGAGCATCCTACCCTCTGTGCTATGACTCCAGCCCTTTTCTTTTTTTTTTTTTTGTTTCCTTTTGGGACCACACCCGCCAGTACTCAGGTTACTCCTGGCTCTGCACTCAGCGATCACTCCTGGATCACTCCTGGCAGGGCTCGGGGACCATGGGGAATGCTGGGGATCAAACCCAGTTGGTTGTGTGCAAGGCAAGAGCCCTACCCACTGGCCCCCTCAATCCCTTTATATCTATTTTTAGACCATATCAGATAAAATTGTTGGTACAGCCTCATTTTTAGAAGGCCAATCGGCTGATTGCCAGATGTTCTGATCCTTGTTTTACATGCTGCAAACAATGAACCGCTGTCATACAGAAAGCTAGTTGTGTAAGTCAGAGGGAGGAGGGCAAACATCAGACACTCACCTGTGGGATACAGAGAACCAAGAGAAAGGGACAGCATCAAGAGACAACAATCTCTTGACCCTGGATTGCCTGGACCCTGCCCCAGACTGAGAGTCCACGTGGGGGGTGAGGAGAGCATGAGAGGAAGGATGATGCGGTGGATCGGGAGGACGAGGGGCCATTGGTCGAGGTCGTGGGTACTTGGTGGTGGTGAGGTGAGGGGGAGTATACATCAAAGCCATGAATACCGGCACTATTTTAAACACATGCAAACTACAAATTGAAAAAAAAAAATTAGTTCTGAAACTGGATAGTTCAACAGGGAGGGTGCCTGCCTTGCACGGAGCCAACCTGGGGTTCAATCCTCGGCACCCTACAAGGTTCTTGGTGCCCACCAAGAGTGCACAGAAACAGGAGCAAACCCTGAGCACCACCGAAACCAAAAACCAATTAAAAAAAAAAAAAGTGCTGAAAGGGAGGCAGGCATGTGGCTAAAACACAGGTACGTAAGGGACAGGGAGATTTCTACTCAGAAGAAACCACAGCCTGAGCTCAAGTGAAGTGGCCTGTGGGATATACGGCACCTCACAGACACGACTCCCAGGGGCCAGCAGCGGCCCGAGTGTCACTAGGAGGCAACCCTGGGAACGTGTGACGTCTACTGGGAAGACTCTGCCCACCTTCAGAGAGCACCGCACTGAGGGGCTGAGAGAAACGAGAAGACGGCTCTCGCCCTTCCTGCAGTCGTGGGCGAGGGAAAGACTGTGGCTGTGGCCTCCCACGGCAAGCGTTCCTCCGGCTCATCTCGCACCTAAACTGTCGCCCCTGGCCGATCTCCACAGGCTCAGAGCGAGTCTCCTCCCTGAGAACGAATCTGCTGAAAAACTCGGATGCATGGGTTTTGTGACCGAAATCTCCTGGTTCTCAGAGAGTGGAGAAGATGGGGAGAACTCCCCCATCTCCCTGTCCTCCCGGGAGCCTGGCGGTCATGCCCACGAACTGCCTCTGGCATCATGTAAGATCACGAACTGGCCAGAATCCAGAGACTCACAAATAAATCTCGGAAGAGAAAGTGAGCCACAGAGATGCCTCAGCACCCCAAAGTCACCATCCAGTTAAAAATTTACTTCCAGCTGTATCACCCTATTTAAAATTTTAGAACTCCTGGAGAAACAGCTCATCCTCCACCCCCATGATGTAACAAGAGTAGCACACCACGTTGGATGGAGTGTAAAGTAGAAGGCAACCTATTTTCATGCCCCCCCAAATTTTATATATATATACATAGGTAAAGGTAAAGGTAAAGGCCCTCCCGTTGATCGTCGATTTGCTCGAGCGGGCCCAGTAACGTCTCCATTGGAGACTTTGTTGTTACTGTGTCTGGCATATCCAATACTCTCGGTAGCTTGCCGGGCTCTCCGAGAGGGGCGGAGGAATCGAACTCGGGTCGGCCATGTTGGCCGCTTGTAAGGCGGACGCCCTACCCGCTGTGCTATCGCTCATATATAATTTTATATATTGGGCTGGAGGGGCTAGAGCGATAGCACAGCGGGTAGGGCTTTTGCCTTGCACGCAGCCAACATAGCCAACCCGAGTTCTATTCCTCTGCCCCTCTCGGAGAGCCCGGCAAGCTACCGAGGGTATCTCGCCCACACGGCAGAGCCTGGCAAGTCACCGTGACGTATTCGATATACCAAACACAGTAACAACCAAGTCTCACAATGGAGACGTTACTGGGCCCGCTCCAGAAAATCGATGAACAACAGGAGGGCAGTGACAGTGATTGGGCTGGAGCCATAGTACAGCGAATAGGGCGTTTGCCTTGCGTGGGGCTGACCCGAGTTCGATTCCCAGCATCCCATATGGTCCCCTGAGCACCGCCAGGAGTAACTCCTGGATGCAAAGCCAGGAGTAACCCCTGTGCATCTCCGGGGGTGACCCAAAGAGAAAAAAAAATAATAAAATTTTATAGATTATATATTAGCACACAAGGGCAACCTGTAACAACATGTTAGTAATCACTTATATGAGGACTTAATGGCTCCAAGGTGAGATGCAATACTCTTCACACACGTTCCTCTGAGGAAACTCTTTTGGATCATATGCAGCAGATTATTGATAACTTGCAATACAAAATAACTTATTTAGTACCTGCTTTGGGGGTAGATTTGGGTGGTGGTGGGAAAATTCAAAATAATGGTGATGGGATGGTGTCATGGTGTTGGAACTGGTGTTGGAATATTGAATGTAAAAAAAAAAATATTGTAAACAACTTAAAAAATTAAATTAAAAAATAATAATAAACTGTCACCCATTAGGATCTTCTCTAAGCACCGGTGACACTGTCCCAGAGCTTCCTTTGTGATGATGGCTGCTGATAATTATACACACGTCTAACTATTTGATTGACACCTGTCTGCCTCAACCAGCCTGCAAGATCTATAATGAGAGAGACGTCATCTCCCTTGCTCAGGGCTGCCTGGCGGTGAGTGGCCTGGCGTTGTTAAATCAATGACTCCAGCAGCACAGACTAACTTAGCTTCTACTTTTGCCCCCTCTACTGTCCACTCTTTGCACTGCCGCCAGAGTAGCCTCTGCAAAGGGGCACAACGGCTTGGCAGGGCTTGGACACACCCCGGGACCAGAACCCTCACCTCCGCGGGGCCCATCTCCAGCTTCAGCTACTAGTCCTGTCTACGCAACCCACTCGCCCTGCCTTGAGCTAAGCCAAGCCCTCAGCTGTCCCAAATACTTTTCCACGCCCTTCACTTTCATTGTCTCAGTTCACAAATGTTACACAGAGCTCAGCCCAATTCACATGAACTTCCCTTTCAAAGTCAGAATGTATGAAAAGTGTATGCGTCACAGGCTTCTATTTAGAGGACAGAAGGGCATCTGGGAGGGCAGAGGGACAGGTAGTCCAGTGGGTAAGGCGCGTGTCTGGCCAAGTGGTTCCATCTCCAGCGCCACAAACGGTCCACTCCTGGAAGGAGTCATCCCTGAGCAGCAGAGCCAGGAGTAAGCCTTGAGTGCCACCAGGTGTGGCCCCCACCCCAAAAGTGTCTAGACCATTTAGTTAAAAAACACAAAAATGAGTCTAGAAACAAACCATTTTAACACGATTAAAAATATCTATATAAAAACTTAACTCCTCATCCAGACAGCTTGCCCGTTCCTGCGATTTGCCAGTGACAGTTTCCTCTTACCTGTGCAGGGGCACAGTTTCCTGTCTGGCCCTCATCAGCGTGGGTTCTGGGTAGGGGGCAAGGATCTTGCTGGTTTGCTCCATCTCCTGCCCCAGAACACCTGGCACCTGCACTGGGGTGAATGCACTGAACCCTGAGGCTGAGAGATATGGGATGTGCTCGGAGTTCGCCAGCCAGGCAGGCAACAGAATGCATGTGACTGGAGTCCCCAGGGGTCTGGGTTCAAATGCCCCTTTCTGCAAACAGCAGGTCTGGCATGCGCCAAGGAGGGGGAAGGAGATGTCCGGGTTCAAATCCCCTGCAGACAGCAGCCCCACTGTGGGAGACCTGGGGGGTTTCAGGGTCCAAATCCCCTGCAGATGGCAGCCACGCCCTGGGTAGACCTGGAGGTTCCGGGTTCAAATCCCCTGCAAAGAGCAGCCCCACCGTGGGTAGACCCTGGGGTCCGGGTCCAGATCCCCTGTACATAGCAGCTCCCTCCCCTGGGCAGACCCGCGGTCCGGGTTCAAATCCCCTGCAGATGACAGCCCCACCGTGAGTAGACTTGGGGGTCCCGGTCGAAATCCCCTGCAGATGCCAGCCCAGTCCTACCCTGGGCAAACCGGGGGCTCTGGGTTGAAATCCCTTGCAGATAGATGGCAGCCACACCGTGGGTAGACCCTGGGGTCCGGGTCCAGATCCCCTGTACATGGCAGCCCCCTCCCCGGGGCAGACCCGGGGTTCCGGTCCAAATCCCCTGCAGACGGCAGCCCCCTCCCCCGGGCAGACCCCCGCAGGCGGCAGCCCCCGGCTCACCTGAGCGCGCCGGCCGCCGTCTCCCGCACGGCCAGGCTGGGGTCCAGCAGCAGCGGCCCGAGGCGCCGCACCGCGTCCCTCCGCGCGAGCCCGGCCAGCGCGGGCCGCTGCTGCACCAGGCGGGCCAGGCCGGCGCACGCGCACTCGCGGGCCTCGGCGCTCGGGTGCTGGAGCTGCGGGGCAGACAGGTGGGGGTGAGTGCGGGTGGGCGCGGGCCGGGGGGCGCGGGGTGCGGGGGTCCCCGCCGCGCCCGCCTCACCTTCTCCAGCAGCTCGGCCGCGGGCCCGTCCTCCTCCTCCTCCGCCTCCTCCGCCTCCAGCCCGCAGCCCGCCGCCGCCTGACAGTCGCCCGTCGGGGAGAACTGCGGCCGCCTGAAGCGCTTCGTCCGGCTCTTGCCCATGGCCGTCGAGAGAGGAGGGCCAGCGGGAGCGCCGGCCGCGGCTCAGCTGGACCCGGCTCAGCTGGACCCGCTGACCGCCGGGGCCCGCATGGAGGTGCACTGCGCAGGCGCGCGGCCAGGAGGAGGGGCGGGGCCCGGAAGCGCGCAGGCGTACAAGGGGCGGGGGCGTGGCCAGGGCATTACCTCATCGGGCTGGGCAGCGGCCAACCGGGATTCGATCCTCGGCGGCATCCAAGGCACCACCCCGCCCCCCCACCTCGTCAGGACTGATACCTAAGTGCAGAGCCTGGAGTGACCCTAGAGCATTGTCGGGATGGGGCCCAAAAACGTAAAAGAATAAGTAAATAAAATTGTATTTCTAGAATAATTCAGCTGGGATTGGTGATACCTGACTTGCAAGGTTATCATGAGTGAAGTAAAACCCGTAATAGCTAAGACCTAATACCAAGTCTGATGTCTAATAGATGCTCCAAAAGTATTAATGAGGGGACTGGAGCAATAGCACAGCAGGTAGGGCGGTTGCCTTGCGCGCGGTCCACCTGGGTTCGATTCCCAGCATCCCATATAGTCCCCCCCCCCCCCCCCATCACCGCCAGGAGTGATTCCTGAATGCAAAGCCAGGAGTAACCCCTGAGCATCGCCGGGTGTGACCCCCCCCAAAAAAAAAGTATTAATGAGAACCTGGGCGCTAGTGTAGTAAAGGTATAGTAAATAAAGGTCTTGCTTTGCACCCGGCCCACCGGGTTTTGTCTCCTGCCACATCGTGTTGTCTCCCCTGGGCTTAGAGTCAGCTGAGCTCCACAGTGTACAAAACAAACTATATAAATATGTTTGTATATATGTATATGTAGCACTGTAGCACTGTCCTCCCATTGTTCATCGATTTGCTTGAGCAGGCACCAGTAACATCTCACAACAAATTGTGAGACTTCTTGTTACTGTGCTTGGCATATTGAATACATCACAGGGGGGCGGTTCTTGCCAGGCTTTGCCATGCGCACGAGATACTCTCGGTAGCTTGCCGGGCTCTTGGAGAGGGGTGGAGGAATCAAATCCGAGTCAGCCAAGTCAGCTGCGTGCAAGGCAAACATCCTACCCACTGTGCTATCGCTCCAGCCCAGAGAATTATATTGAGAATATTATAGTTAATGAGAATTTCTTGCGCGCATAATTCCAACACCACAATCCCTCACCACTGAGTGCACACTTGGCAGGCAGGAGGCCCAGAGTTTGATCCCAGAACCACATGATCCCCAGGGCACCAGAGGCAGTGGCCCAAGAACTAAAAAAAAAAAAAAACAATGTATAATATACAACACAGTCACCCAAGCCAAGCACTGGTTTAAGACTTTATATCAATCCTCTAAATAATCAGATGAGTAAGCATTATCTCCACGTTACATGTGGAAAAACAAGGCTTAGAGCAATTTATACAACCACTAAGTGTCAGAGTTTATGATTCAAACTCATGCAGTCCAGCAGCAGAACCCTAACCACCACACACACACACACACACACACACACCAGTGCCTTTATGATTTCTAGGCAGTCTCATACACAGAAGGTCAACTGTGGCCTTCTGAAAAACTATCTTCAAGCCATTTACAGATATGTGTATGTATGTGTATATATATATAAATATGTGTGTGCATATATATATATATGTATATATATGATTTCGTTTTGTGTCTTCAATTCCTGGCACAGCTCCTGCCATAGACAAAGCCCAGTTAGTTGATGTCTCAGGCCCGAGAGAGAGTACAGCAGGTTAGGCACTTGCCGTGCAAGTGGCTGACCGTGGTTCAATTCCCATCATCTCATATTTCAGGGAATGATTCATAAGTGCAGAGCCAGGAGTAAGCCCTGAGCACAGTCGGGTGTGGCCAAAATATTTCACTTAATCTGGGTCCAAGGAGTTAGTGCAATGGTAAGATGGTTGCCTGGCCTGGGTTCAATTTCTGGCACTGTAGATGGTCTTCTGAGCACTTCCAGGAGGGACCCCTGAATACAGTGCCAGGAGGAAGCCCCAAGCACAACCACAAAATAAAAATAATTAATTTACTTAATTTTGGGAGAAGCTGTAACTACAAGGGTAGAGCACTGACCCTCCACTGATGAAGGTCTGGTCTAGATTCCCAGCACCAGAAAGCCAAACAGTGCCAGAGGAGATTACTCCAAGACCTGGGTTCAGGCTCTGCAGGTGGAAGGGTCCTGGTTTCATTACTGGACATGACTGAGAGCCACCCCTGACCACTGATGAGTGAGAGAACACACACACACACACACACACACACACACACATCTTTAAATCTTTAGTTTTCAATCTCTCTCTCTCTTTTTTTTTTTTCTTTTTGGGTCACATCCGGCAATGCACAGTGGTTACTCCTGGTTCATGCACTCAGGAATTACCCCTGGCAGTATTTGGTGGCACCATATGGGATACTGGGAATCTAACACCGGTCTGCCGCGTGCAAGGCAAACACCCTACCCACTGTGCTATCGCTACAGCCCACACCTCCAATATCTCAAGAGGATTGGGTGACTGAGTTTAAGGAGCCAAGAACAAAAACTAATACATAATAAGCATTTATAATTACTATTTAAAAATACTTGCATATACTGATGGAAACATTTCATTAACAGATGGATTCTTTCACAAATACACGAGTGTTTTTTGTAGGGCGTGGGGGTGATGGGTGCCAGTGCAGGTGCCACTAGGGGCACAATTGGCAAACCCGAGGCTAGAGTGGTGGGCTCATGTGCCCCCTAAAAATCATCTTGCCTGCCCAATCACAGGAAGCAATTTTATAGGCAAAGGTCATCTTTCCAAGGGCAGGTTGCAGACTGACAATCATCAGAGTGATCAGTAAATTCCTTCAGGGTGAGGAATTGCTTTAAGGTAATTGGAAAGAAATATTTATGATTAAGGTTTTTCACCTTCTTTTTTTTTTTTTTTTTTTTTTTTGCTTTTTGGGTCACACCCAGCGATGCACAGGGGTTACTCCTGGCTCTGCACTCAGGAATCACCCCGGGCAGTGCTCAGGAGATCATATGAGATGCTGGGAATCGAACCCGGGTTGGCCACGTACAAGGCAAGCGCCCTACCCGATGTGCTATTGCTCCAGCCCCGGTTTTTCACCTTCTTACCTCCTAGTAAAAGGTCATGGTCACAGTCATGGTCCTCCCGTTATTCATTGATTTGCTCAAGCAGGCCCAGGAACATCTCCATCATGAGACTTGTTGTTACTGTGTTTGGCATATCGAATACGTCATGGGTAGCTTTCCAGAATCTGCCGTGCGGGCAAGATACTCTCAGTAGCTTGCCCGGCTCTCCAAGAGGGACGGAGGAACCGAATCCAGCGTGGCTGGGCCGGCTGTGTGCAAGGCAAACGCCCTACCACTGTGCTATCATTCCAGCCCCTAGGAAAAGGTAAGGGGTACATTTTTGTTTTGTTTTGAGGCCACACCAGGCTGTGCTCAGGGCTGATTCATGACTGTCGGAGGGGCGTGGCAGACCATTTGGGGTGCCCCGATGGAACCCGGATCAGCTGGGTACAAGGAAAGTTCCCTACTTGCTGTACTGTACTCCAGCGGTAAGGGGAACATTTTTGGGGTGTTGTTGGTGGTGAGTTTTTTTATTTTGGGGTCACATCTGGCAATACTCAGGGGTTACTCCTGGCTCCGCACTCAGGAATTACTCCTGGCAGTGTGGGGGGGACCATATGGGATGTTGGGAATTGAACCCGGGTCGGCTATGTGCAAGGAAAATGCCCTACCCTCTGTGCTATCGCTCCAGCCCCTAATTAAGCTATTTTTAAAATTTGGGGTCACACCAGTGGTGTTCAGGGGGACTCCCAACTCTGTACTCTCCTGGCAGTGTTTGGGGGACCATATGAAATGCAGGGATCAAATTAGTGTGTACAAAGTATGTTCTCATCTCTCAGCACTGTGAGCTCTTGGTCTGCAAGTTTTCTGAGTTTATGGTATAAAATTCAGCTCTTAAATTCTTTTTCTTTGTTTGTTTTTGGGTTTCGGTGTCTCACCCAGTGGTGCTCAGGGGTTATACCTGGCTCTGTGCTCAGGACTGTCCCCAGGTGGTGCTCCGGGGACCATATGAAGTACCAGAGATCCAGGGAGGGTTCAGGGAAATAGCCTGCAAGAAGTAGCCTGCAACCTTGCCCCTGTACACTTATCTCTGGTCCTTGCTACTTGAAACCAGGCCCAGACCCCCACCATGTTCTGGTGAACTCCAGTGTCCTGTCAGAGCTGTGTCGTGGATGGGAGAAGTAGTTTTCCAAAAGAAGTAGGTCTTCAGTGTGGCTCGCAAATGATGTTGCAGTTCTTTCCTTGGCCTGCCTCATTAATTCTGGAGTAGGTCACTGGCTCCTGGCTGTCTCACCAGATGCTGCAGGAGACTGGGAGGAGTGGGGGCCACTGCCTTACCCCTCTACCTGCCTCGGTCACCCCAGGAAATGCCCAGGAGTGTCAAGACTGGTGGAGTCGACTAAATGCATCACTGCATGGACACCAGTGCTGTGAAGCTGTTCCTGACATCGCCTTGATCTGTGCCACACAGGAACGGGTCTCCACCGCCCGGAGAAAGGTGGATCTCCTCAAAAAAACAAGAAGAATCAAAAGAAAAAAAAAAGCCCATGATAAGAGTATGGAACAGGGCGGGCTGGAGCAATAACACTGCGGGTAGGGCATTTGCCTTGCACGTGGCCAACCCGGTTTTGATCCCCAGCATCCCATATGGTCCCCCAAGCACCACCAGGAGTGATTCCTGAATGCAGAGCCAGGACTAATACCTGTGCATCACTGGTGTGACCCAAAAAGAAAAAAAAGAATATAGAACATATTATCTAAGTCTCTTTTGAAAGTCTAAGTCTCCTGGGGGCGGAAGGCAGCTGGAATAGAGAGGGGATCACTAAATCAATGATGGTTGGAGGAATTGTTCAGGATGGGAGATGTGTGCTGAAAGGAGATAAAGAACCAAACGTGATAGCCACTCAGTATCTATATTGCAAACCAAAATCCCCAAAAGTAG